TTGGCCGGTGCCTTGTTCGGGCCGTGGCTGGGACTTCTGCTGTGCTGCGTGCTGACATCAGTAGGGGCCACGTGCTGCTACCTGCTCTCCAGTATTTTCGGCAAACAGCTGGTCGTCTCCTACTTTCCTGATAAGGTGGCCCTGCTGCAGAGGAAGGTAAGGTGGGGGCACACCTGTGTGCTAGGTCCCCGAGCATCAGCCCAGGGTCTGAGAGGAGTCAGGAGCCGGGATGGCTGTCCCACGTGCTCCCTCACCCTCCCTGGGAGCTGGGAAGCATTCTCCTGGGGGGAGCACAGCGCTGTGTCCAAATCCTAGCTCCTGTCCTTCCCTGCTCTGTGGCTTGGGGTTAAGTTTCTGACTCCTCTGATTCCCAGGTACAATGTTTTTATTTATTACCTTATTTTATTTAGTTAATTGTGTGTTGGTGTGTGTGTGCATGCGTGTGCGCTGGTGTATATGTGAGCGTCTGTGGAAGCCAGCGGTTTGCTTCTGATATCTTCTTCAACCACTCTGCCTTGTTTTGTGAAGGGCCTGGGGCTCACTGGTTTGGCTACAGTAGCTGGTCAGCGAGCCTCACGGGTCTCCGTCTCTGCCCTGGGATCCCGGTTTGCGCCACTGCCCCAGTGACATGGGTGCAGGTGACCAGATGCAGAGGCTTGTGCTGACAGGCCTAGCACTTCACCTCTGAGATAGCTCCCCAGCCCAGTTTTTTGTTTTTGTTTGTTTGTTTGTTTGTTTGTTTTTGGCCCCAAACTCGAGGAAGCCCTGTTTCAGCCCCCTGAATTTGCCAGCAAGTGCTGGGACTGTAAGTGTGAGCCACCCAGGCCAGCGGGTACTTGCGCACTGTGGGAGGGGCTGGGGGAGCTGTCCAGCTTCAGACCTGGCTGGAGAGCAGCTTCCAGGCCTGACGCCGGGCTCTCTCTGCAGGTGGAGGAGAACAGGAACAGCCTGTTCTTTTTCCTGCTGTTTCTCAGACTCTTCCCCATGACGCCAAACTGGTTCTTGAACCTCTCGGCCCCGATTCTGAACATCCCCACGGTGCAGTTTTTCTTCTCAGTGCTTATCGGTAAGATGGGAGGAGGGTGGGGGTGGCCCTGCCCTCCATCTCGTGCCACGTGAGTGCCTACCAAGAGCATCTTCAGGCCTGGACTTGACGAAGTTGTCTCTTGTCCTATCCATAATCTCTGGCTCGATTATGGATCCCATACAAATACTTTTGGAACGACCCAGGAAGTTTCGGCCCGTGTCCACATTTAGCTTTTCTCATGTGCCCGCTGTGGTTGAACACGATCATCCCTATAAAGCACGTGACATGGCTCCAAGAAGTGTGAGCACATCTGAAGAGCTGGCAAAGAGCAAGGCGCTTCCTTCTTGGCACCAGCCCCTTTGACTAAGAAGGGGCCTTGGGGAGGGCTGGCGTCAAGGAGGCCCCCCCCCCCCCCCCGTCTGCCTTCTGAGAACTACACGGCCATTAGCAAGCCACTGTCCTTCAGGAATCACTTAATGGTTAGAGCTGCGGTTAGGAGCGGTGTTTCTTGAGGTGTGGGCTGCAGCCTCCTTCCATGGTTCAACTTCCAGGTTGAAGTGGTACCGTCCCACCGCCCACCTGAGCGTTACCTTCTCTCTGCAGTAAACCAGCCCCTCCTAACCACAGGCAAAGGGGCTCAGACCTTTCTTAAACGTGGAGGGAACGGTGCTCAGGGATTTGTGTCCAAGTAAGCAAATGGGCAGCGGGGCAGGTACTGTCAATAGGGGTGTCTGGGAGAAACGGGAAGAAGCTGACCACAGCCTCTCCTGAGTACCGCAGCGCCTCAGCCAGTGGGACTTAACAGCTTGTCATCACTGAAATGGCACCAGCCGCAAAAGACTCTAGAGACAGATTCCTTCCTGAGGGCCAAGCCGCGTGACCTTGAAAGGTCTGACCATTTCCTCCCATATTTCACTTCTGAGATGCGGGCTCCTGGACGGTACTGCAGAAGCAAGGAACGGGGGATCTCTGAGGCAGAGCCGAGGAATGCATTTTGTCTCATTATTTGCTTTGTTTGCCATGGCTGTGTTGTATAGCCTAGGCTGCCCTCACACTTTCAATCTTTTCGCTTCGCATGCTCTGTTCAGCCCGACTTAGGTGTTTTGTTTTGTTTTCTTAAACATCACAGGGTTCTTTGGTTGTTGTTTCTGCTTTTGAGCTTGCAGTCTAGGCTGGCCTTGAATTTGTTGCCATTCTCTGCCTCAGCTTCCTGATTCCTCAGTTATTAGCATGTGCCACCAAACCTGACTCTGAGGGACTGTTATGCCATCTGGTGCCCAGGTACAAGATAGACTTGGGAGTCCGGTGCTGTGCTGAATTCTCAGAGTGCCGAATATACAAAGTTATACTTTGGAGAAACTTGTTTTGTCTGTCAGTGTTGAAACTCTTTAAGGAACACTGAAAATTTCATGTTGCTGAGCTTCTCCCATTTGGCTCCTGAGTCCCACCTTCAGCAGGTGTACAGACTTAGCATATCTCTCTCTGCTTACTCTCTGAGTTATTAGTTTTTTTCTACATGATAAGTAAATTTTCCTTATTGTGATATATAGATATATATGTTTTCCCCCCAGGGAGTGGGGAGGTTTTGAGACAGGGTTTCTCTGTGCAGCCTTGGCTGTCCTGGGTCACTTTGTAGACCAGGCGGCCCTCGGGCCCACATCGATCCGCTTGCCTCTGCTCCCTGAGTGCTGGGACTGAAGGCATGGGCCACCGGCACCCAGCACTGTGATGTGTATAGTTGAGTGGCCCAACCTCTGGCTTTTTTATGGTCCAGGCAGGTATGTGTGGGAAATGTGGGGAGGAAAGGAAGGAGGTAGAATGTTCAGGGTTTAGGACTTGGACAGACAGCTGGAGTCACTGTTCTGAATTCCTATCCATCACCTAGTGCCATTTCCCACCACGCTGCCCCACTAATGGACCGTCCCCACATTCTGTTTCCCAGGTTTGATCCCATACAACTTCATCTGCGTGCAGACAGGCTCCATCCTGTCCACCCTCACTTCTCTGGATGCGCTCTTCTCCTGGGAAACTGTCTTGAAGCTGTTGGCCATTGCCCTGGTCGCTTTGGTTCCTGGAACCCTCATCAAAAAATTTAGCCAGAAGCACATGGCGCTGAGCAAAACAAGCAACACTGGTCGCCTGGATAGCAGGAAGGACGCGTGACATAGGTTCCGTGTTTACCACAGCCCCGGACTGTGCTGCTGACCTGTGTGGTGGGCATGCGCCTTTTAATGTCCTCATTGTGTTTTCATCACCCTCAAAAGGCGATCCGGACAGCGCTCTAGTGTGGGCTGAGGCCTAGTAGAAGGGCACTCTGCTTGATGGTCCAGTCCTGTGTAGCAGCGATCTGTGAAATGGACAGCTGTCTAGACAATCTTGTCTTGGTTCTGTCTAATAACAGAGGACTCTGGCAGGTTTGTCTCTTGCCAGACCCTGAGATGTCTTGAGATGCTGATGGCCTTTTTGGACAGGCTGTGTGACAGCGTGCTCCTGTTAAGTCCCTGTGGATGTTAGTGTCAGACTGAACTTTGACCTCTGTTAGTCTCTTGAAGTGTCTTTGCTACCTTTTTGCTGATAATCTACCTCTCCATAAGCCAAGGGAAACATGACGAACTGCCTAGGACTTACATGGCTAAAGTCCAATGATTCCTGCAGTACCCCTGTTCACACAGACACTTCTGTCCATGTTCAAGCTCCTTGTGGTTGTATGTCTTGGTAGTTAAGTGGATCTGAATGTGATTAAATATGAATGGAGCCAGCTTTGTGTGTTCTGAATGTGTTCTGTAGAGATTCTTCCCCACCCGAAGGCCCTGTCTTATCTCAAATGACCATCTATATTTTCTGCCTGGGAACCCTTCTACCTCCTCCTGCGGGGACTAAGGCATCAGTCTGTGTGGCTGTCAGCCAGTGCACCCTATGAGGGTTTTTTAGTTTTGCCAGTTGAGAAGAACAGCCGAGGAACAGTTGTACTTTTTAATTCAAAGAGGGAAAGGTGGTGTGATTGCCTGCCCATTTTCAGTCACTTGCAGCTATCATTGCATCTTCTAACTGGGCCACTGGGTTGTGGACCCTGGCACCTGAGCTGGTCAGTCTGCAGGCTTGGGCCTTGTGGGAACAATTCATGACAGGGACTCGGCAGAGCCGCCCTCTAAGGCGACACCCGTGGGCTGTTGTGTTTGTCTCAAATCTGGGCTCATCAAGGCCTGCTGTGCTTTGTGACTTCTTGGGTGTTCTCAGGTTTCACAGTAAGTGTGCATTTCCATGTCATGGCTTTTTTTTTTTTTTAAGGCGTTTATTAAAAAAAAAAAAAAAAAGTGTTTTTTTTAAAAAGAAACCTTTCTAATGAGGGGGTGGAGACTGTGCTTTGAAGCCAGTGGTTCTATATCACATTGGAAAAGAGAGGGAAAGAAAGAAGAGGGAGTTTTCTCCCCCTTTGCCTGTGTGGCCCCTCCTCTTCAGGCTCCCCAGATGTGTGTCCCTGGCAGGACTTTGCACAGTGTATACACACAGACACAGGGAAAGAGATTTCCCAAACCCATGGACATAAACGTTCCACAATGAAGACAGAACGTAAGAGCATATCTGTACATATTGTATACTCACGACTGCCCTTAGCAAAGGGACCAGAATTGGCTGAAAACTGCAACCCAGAAGGCTGGCTTAGCTCTCCTGTCCCAGCAGGCTTCTGACCAAACCAGCCACTTCTCATTTCCCTCTTTTGGCTTCTTTGAGACTGCTATCACTGGTAACAGGACAGCTGCGGGAAGGGCAGCAGAGAGGCTCAGGAAGAAGCAGAGCGCCTGCCTCGGCCTTTAGAAGACACTCAAGACAAAATGGAAACCACAACGTTAGTGGTCGTCACTGACGTGTAGAGTCCTGGCTGCAGAACCAAGCCTGCCTTTCCCTAACATCTTGGCAGGGCAGCTTGCACTACACAGACATCACCTCTAGGAAAAGACAGGACCAGGAAACATAAGGTGTACTTTTGTTTAATTTCATGCATTGGTTTGTTTTCATAATCATTCTTGTTCCCATTGCTGTTCAGCACAAAACCAGAGCCAGTATCTGAAAACAACACAGAGCAGGGGACCCAGGAGTTCAGGAGACTACAGGGGAGAGAGATGTGGGAGTTCATATGAGACTTAAGTATTAGAAACCCATTTGCTCTAAATCAATAGGAACTCACTGTAATAAATAATCAGAGAGGAGAGATAGAGAAGAGAGAGGGAAGGAGGGAGGAAGAGAGAGTGAGCAGACAGTGCATACATTAAAAAGACGCAAAGGGCTTCCCATGCTCTGGAGGTGGGCAGCCACTGGGGTGGGGTGGTCACACGTGGCTGGACAGCAGCCTGGGGCCGGATGACAGTGACCCATCCCGCTACACAGTGGCCTGGAAAGCGACTGCGATCCTGCTGGAAGCTTCCTTACAGTGGCCTTCATATGCTGAGGGTGTGGCACTGGCATCCTGCCATCACACCTTTGCCATGTGGCGTTTCCCACAGCCTAACCCAACTCTTTCCCTGTTTCTGAGAGCTACCCTCTTCAGCCACCTGTCCCTGAGAAATATTCTAGGTTCCACCAGGCCCTTCCCTTAGCAGAACGAAGTTTAGCTTTCTTGTTTGAATGGGCATTTTCAGTGCCAACTAAGCCATGCAGATAACCAAATCAACAGGTCCAGTGGGCCAGTGTAGAGGGAGGTGAGGACATTGGGACATTTGTTCTATGGCATCAGCAAAGAAAAAACCTTGCTGCCTGGAAAGGCACTGAATCCATACTGACAGTTGAAGAAAAGTCTCTACAAAAATTTCACATCATTCTCACAGCATCTCAGGAGGAAGCGAGTAACGGATTACACACCTGAACCTTCTGTCCACAGACGGGGGAGAGTGTGCTCACATTCAGTGGAGTGGGCAAAGAGATGTGACTGCTGGTTAGTCAACTGGACTGTGGTCCAAAGGGAGGGAATAAAGGCAAGCGGCCCTTGCCTGTCCTGGCACATCCCTGCCAGCCGTGGGGGTCTGTAGGGAGACCGCTGGCAGGGTCCTGTACTCTCCCATCAGGGAATTCAAGATCTCGGATCATCTTTAGGGAACAATTATGAGTACGGGGCTGGGCTAATGAACACCTTGCACACCAGTTCCAGCAAGAGGTGAGTGATGCTCTGCTCTGGGGTGCAGCGGGGCTCAGCAGGGGGCAACACGGTGCTCGGTAAAAGATGCAGGTCGTGGTGTGGGGTGCAGGGGTGGTGTGGGGTGCAGGGGTGGTGAAAAAAACATGGTAGATGCGGAGCGCGGCAAGAAGTCCTTGGATTTGATTGTTTTAAAAAAAGAAAACTGGACACGGGAAGGAGAGCTCCAGGCCCTTCCCCTATTGGGCTACTGACAGTTGACAGCTGTTGGGGGAGGGAGGTGCTCTTTTTGTGGAAGTGGCCCACTGTTAATTTCCCACGCTCTAGTGGATGGCCCACACACGTGCATACATGGGGCCACTAACTGGAGTTAGTCACCGAAACAACAACCGCAAGACAAAAGCCTCTGCCCACCAAACAAGAATGTGAGGTTGGGAGGGGGATCTTTTAGATCGGATATGGAGGGGGAACGGACAGAAGAGGATCACAGTTCACTGTATACATGTACAAAGTTCTCAAAGATTTTTAAAAATATAGATATGATTAAAAACATTTGAGACGAGGGCATGAGAGAAAACAGTAAACCAGCAGATCAATGGGCACACATTCCCGCTGGGAAGATGTCAAGGCTACCTTGAGGGGCGCCTGATGAGCCTGAGACAGCAACATGGAACCCGCCTCCCCCATTGCCTCCATCACCCTTAGTTTAGCACAGTGGGGCCCTGCAGAACTACTAGACAGCACTTACTCAGAATGACTTTAATTCCAGAATTAATTTGGTGGAGCTAAAGGCTTAAAATACTCAGTTTTCACACAGGCCACCCAGGTCACCTTATGTCACCTCCACTGTCCTGGGCGGGCGCTCCCACAGTCCTGCAGCTGGCTCTACGCTTAGTGTTGGGGGGGAATGCTTCAGAGTGTGCAGGCCTTCCCCAGCCCCTGCTGAGCAATTTTAAGAGGGATTTTTTTTACTCAGGGATATGATCTAGACAAACAGAAAGAAAAATCCAGTGCTTGATTGCAGTACAAAATGGAACTCGTCTTGGTAGGCAGTCAAAACCAGCTGGACGAAGACACCCGTTCAATCAGGGGTTCAATCAGGGATGAAGCCCAAAAGCAGCCCGGCAAGGCTCCTCAGAGCACCACAGCGTGGCGGCAGCTGACCGCGCTGAAGAACTGGCCCCTGCGTTCCCTGAGCGCTCCACTCTGTGTTCTTCTGACGGCTATGGTGCTTTTAAGGAGACACGCAATCTGAGTTGCCTGGCTCTCACAGGCAGGTCGTGGAGGAGAGGCAGGTAGGGACTATTTTTCCCTTTCAGCCATGCTTAGAACCATTCTGTTCTGAAACCGTGATAATTCTCCTAAAAATGTGTTGACTCTCCTCCTATTCTAATGCTACAGAGAATGCCTGGAGTCCGCACCGCACCCCCGGCATGCTCATACCCCTTCATTCAGGTATGGTGGCCTCGGTGTGGCACACAGGCAGGGTGGGAACTCAGAAGGCTGAGGAAGACTGAGGTATCGGGTGGGTTTCCTGGGAGGACCAGACAGAAGTGGCCTTCATGTTTCACTGTGGCCAGTAAGGTGTGCACACAACTCGACAAACGCCTGGCTCTGCTCTGCGGTGGACAGAAAGAGTCTCAATTCCAAGGAATAAGGGCCCCGAGGCCGGAGGACGAGGAACAGTGCCTCTGACATTCTCCAGCCCTGGGCCCCCAGTGCTCTCAGAACAACATGTCTGTCACAGAAGCATATCACAGCTGGACTTGTACAGGGCTAATCTTTCTGCTCTTCCCAATCTGTGGGACTCAGTGGGAAGGAGATGACTCACTTTGCTGTCCACTCTTGAAATTACCTCACAGGTCCTCAAGGAAACGCTCTGTCTTGCCGTCTGAGCATTACATCTCCTTTTGCCTTCATTATACTCCCGTGATTTTATTTCTAAGACATTTTAGAAAGTTTGTAACTTTTGAACTACTTGTTTATCTACTTGGTCATCTGCATATTCAGGAGCTTTTACAATCAAGTAAAAAAAATCATAGTGTACCCACTGAGTGTCAGGGCAGAGCACACCTCCACAGACCACCGCTGCAGTATTCAGGAGACCAGGGAATACACTGAGGAATGCCAGGCACTCCAAAGGGCAGCTCAGTCCCCGGGCCTTCACTTAGGACCACAAAAGTCCATAATAATTCAAGATTAGCAATAAACAGTCATTGTGCTACATCATAAGCCACACCTTCTGGTCAACAGAAAATTATGACAATATAAAATAAAACAAGGATAATAATGCCATAACTTAAGCTCTTTTGTGTAGTCCTGCTACAGTTCATACAAAATGGAATAATTTAACAAAACAATACTGCTTTCTAAGGACATGTTCCTTCATCTTTCCTATGAGCTAAAAATTATAGACTAAATTTTAAAATCAATGTCTCAACATAAATTGTAAACAAAGGAGGGATCAAACAGAAGACCGGCTCAAAGTGCCCCCCTGCATTTTGTTTTTGGCTGATGCAGTCAGTGACACCAGGCCCAGGACCTTCCCATTTGGGTTGGAATGTCTTAATACCTAACATCCTTAGAGGATGCAACACCTAGCCTGTGAGGGAGGTTGTTTGGCAGAAGCCTGCATTGGAGACATAGGAATCGGGCCAATGTGTGTGTATACAAATTCTAAATAAAACATCTTTAAGCCAGGCATGGTAGTGCCCACCTGAGACCCCAGCCCTCAGGGGGCTAGGACACCTTTCCTGCTTCAAGCCAAGGCTCCACCAAGTACCTTGGGGTACCTTTCATAGCCAAGGACTCTGAACACAGGAAGAATCACATGCTTTTGAGAAACTAAAGTGATTCTAATTCCTGCTTAGCATCAGCTGTTCCTTCTACGCATATCCTAATCCAAGTAAACAAAACTGTATTGATTCAGAATGAAAAAAAAATTTTTTTACAAGTAGCATTTAAAGAAAATATGGCGAGAGGGGTCACCTTCTGCAGGCTGCTTAACTCTGCCTTTTATGCTGGAGAGCTAGACAGCCACCGGAGCTTCCACGCTAGAATGAGATCACAAACAGAAATAGAGATGGTTTGGGAGGGGACGTGAATGCACGCATCCTAGCTGCCATCTGTGTGAATCAATATGATTCCAGTCGGTAGACAGCCTGGGTCCAGAGAGGGGTGGCGCCATCTTGCTCAGAGAGCTTGGACACAGCTGTTCCGAGAAGGAGCTTTTACAGGTCTGTTTTCCTAGTATTACCAACACTCCTCTTTCCCTCACCACTTTATCCCTTTCAGGACCCGTTCTCCTTCCTAAAAAAAGTGACCAAACCATCAGAAAGGAAGGAAGCTCCTTGGGAGAAATGGCACTCGGGTCCAAAAGCCTGCACTGGTCAAGGTTGTGACGGTGGCAGCATGAAAAGAAAAGCATTTGCTAAGGGCTACCAGATTCTGCTTAACGTTCAAGTGAAATGGCTTCCAGGTGTGCAGCCGCAGCTCTGTTTGCTTTCCTCCTAGGGGGAGCACATGCCCTCCGAGGCTTTGGTGCTATGAGATCGCTCCTCTTCCCGGGCATTCCCATCCCTCAAGTGGACAAGCTGGTTGAACTTAATGTGGCTGCATTTCCTTTGGCTTGTGTTTTAACTTGCTGAAACTGGTTACAACTCTTCAAGTATGGATGAAAGACCTGGTCTTGCGTTCAAGCTACAGTGACACCTCCCAGCCCCACATATTGTTGCTCCTGGAGAGCAACATTTCCTATCCTTTTTTTTTTTTTTTTGTAAAGAAATTATTGTGTCTGTGTATCATATATAGTTCACTCTTTACAATACAAAGTGTTAAAATGTCCAACAAAAATAAATATCAGTGTTACAGTAGCTGGAGTATTCGGTACAATAGATCCCTGCCATTCTTGATTGAAATGCTCAGTGAGATGTAATTTCATTTGGGTATTTTTCCAGAGATTTGACAAGTCTCACCTTCCTGCCACTGGGGCTTGAGGGAGGAGTCTAGCGCTGGAGAGAAGTCGAGATGCCAGTGTCTCCAGACTTGAGGGAGGGCCCTTGTCACCAAGTGGCAGAGCTGTAGTTCTTGCTGGTCCTAACTGTGGCATCAGAACACTCCCCCTCTGAAGAGTCACAGTCTGAGTCTCCAAACTGCACGGGGTTCTGCAAAGTCCAGGCAAGAGCTCTTAATTCTTCTGCAAACGTCAGTGGCTGGCGGCATTCTGACCCTTCCCACGTGACATCCCTCCCCCCTCCACAGCCCTGACTGAAGGTGAGATGAATACATCTCATGTTATAGGAGCTGACAAAGACAAATGGGGCTGGGCCCTGTTCTTGGGAGGGTGCTTATAGAGAAAAGAGCTACATAAAGGTGGTCAGGCTGACGGTGGCTGTGGCAGTTGGGCCAGTTCTCCATCCCCTCACTTCCATAGAATCCCAGTGTCCCGGGGTCCAGTTACTGTAAGCCCTTTACACCTGCTAGTTCAATCTACTCACCTGCTGAAAGAGATCATTTCTCATGGGTTTGACAGAATCACATTTTACAGGTAAGGAAACTGAGGTCTACCTTCAGAGATGGTAAGCAAGTTCCCTGAGGTCATGTGCTAGGCAGAGTAGCTGGGGCTTGCTTGCACCTATGCAGTCTGAGTCCAGGGTTTACACTGGCTCTCCAAAGGCTGTACTAGTCTACATAAGAAACAGCATCTTCTGTGCTGTGGCAGTGTCTTCCAGAGAAGAGCAAGGGCACAGAGGTAGAGAGGGACCCAGTCCCTTAACAAGACTGGGAGACAGGGTGAGGAGGAGGTGCGGCTTCCTGAACATTTCATGTCTCTGCCTCACTAGTGAGACCTTATTATACTTTCTGTCCTTATTCAGGGAGCCCCATGGCTATGTACCTTTATGTGAAGGCAGTATAGATTTTATCTACTGAGTAAAAATTATGAAGACCCTGAGGCACGAACATACTTGTGCTGGTTCGGTTTTTTTGTTTGTTTGATTTTGTTTTTGTGGACTTGATACAAGCTAGGGTCATTTGAGAAGAGGAGACCTCGGCTGAGAAAATGCTTCCATCAGACTGTGGACTGTTTCTTCATTAACAACAGACAAACAAACATAAAAAGAAAGCTGAGCAAGCCATGGGAGCAAGCCAGCAGGCAGCCTTCCTTTCTGGCCGCTGCTTCAGCCCCTGCCTCTGCCTGGCGATGCTGGACTGTGAGCTGCCAGCTGAAATCAACCCTTTCCTCCCCAAGTTGCTTTTGGTCACAGTGTGTATCCCAGCAACAGAGAGCAAACTAGGAGACTACTCTAAACCCAGAAGAAGCCGGAAGGGCATAGTGGGGTGAGGAGGAGGGAGAGGTGCTCACCTCGTAGCCACGCTCCTCGGCGCACAGCTTGCCCAGGGACATCTGCGTCTTCACGCGCCTTACAGCGCACTCCTTGTCCGACAGCCCGTCTGAGTGGGAGGAGATGTCGATGGGGGCCTCGGGGGTCTGGGACAGCAGGTCGTCTAGCTTCTCTGCCAGGCGGTCTTCCTGTCTGTCAGCGGACTCGTCCGGGCTGTTCGAGTGGTCACTGGTGTTTCCTTCCTCCCCGTCAGACACAGAGAAGTTCTCGGAGCTGAAGGTTGAGTAGGACTGGCAACTGCTGATGCAGCGGTGGGGCCTGCAGACAGGGAGGACACGCAGACTCAGCCCGGGGAGGAGTGTCTCCCTGTTGGCCAGAGGGGCAAGAGGACTTTTATCGCCTGCCCCAGAAGAAGGCTGCAAATCGAGAGGTAGAAGCCTCTACAGGAGTAGAGAGGAGCTATGGTCTGAACTGCGCCCTCTCAGATGCCCTACTGTTTACCCATCTCTCCCATGCAAGGACACAGGAAGAAAGTCGCTTTCTGCAAGCTAGAAAGAAAGCTGTGGTGAACCATGAATGACCTGTCTGTGAGCTCGGGCTTTCCAGCTTCCCCAACTGGGAGAAATGTATGTTGTTCCATAACCCCCCTCGTCTGTGACATCTGACTGTCTCAGCACGGACAGACTATCTCAAGGAGGCCCACTAGAAACCAGCCGTCCCCACAAACCAGTGCCACCCATCCAAACAGACTTTGAGTTCTGAGTGTGACTGCATCTGGATCCATACTCCTCACTGTGGAGTTCTCTGGAAATGCTTCTGCTGTGGGGAGGCAACTGTCAGACATGCTGACGGAGGACGCCGGCACTCAGCTCACTTTCCCCGGACAGCGGCTGCTGACTGGCCCCTGGGAGAGCCTTGTGTAGTACTCAGGGGCTTCTCCATTACACTAAACGTAGTCACAGGCTTGTGCCAGCCTTACCTCTGTCTTCGAGGAAATTCCACTTCACTGTCCACTTCGCCTTCCTCCTCTGAGGAGTCATCTCCACTCTGAGGAGGACAGAGAGAAAGGAGCTTTGTTGATTTTAGAATCTCCCCTCCTCCCCATCTCTCATTGCCCCTAACAGATTTAATTTTCTGTGCAGGGCTTTAGTGACAGCCTGTTGATGTCTTTAAGCATACATCCACATCTGGGTAGGGGAGCCCACAGCTGGAATCCTACCACTCCAGAGGCTGAGACTCGTGGATGAGGACAGCCCAGGTACACAGTACGTTCCAGGCCGTCCTGGGATATTGATTTAATGAAACACTATCTTAAAAACAAACTATAAAAAAACCAACCAAACAAACAAACAAGAAAACAAAACAAAACAAAAAACAAAAACCCAAAGCAAAATCCCAAACAAAATTAACAAATCCCCAATCCTAAAACAGAGCAGCCCAGACCAACATATGGATACCCTCCCTTTAGCAGCAGTGTGCCCCGTTTCCATGACAACAGGCCCCTTGCCAGGTGCTAGAAGACACACATCATTCCTGGTGCCTTCAGGAGGTAGAGACCACATGCAGGTATTCAGAGAGGAGTGGGCAAGAGGAAGCAGTGGAGGTCTTGGATTTGGGTCACTGTCCTGTAACTCCTGCCACAAGCGGCTCTTGGATTTTCATAGAAATTCCACCTAGAAGCTGCTTTCCAGTTCTGCAAAGGCAGGCGAGTGCTTTCCTCTTTCTGTGTCAATCGTTTTGCCACTAATACTGCAGCTATGCTAAGGCACTCGGGGTTTAAATGTCGGATCATTCCTTATTCATACTCAACTCCGGGACAGCGTTTCACTGAAGGTGCGTATGTCATGACTCTCCAGTTTTTAAAGAGGGTTCTCCAGGCATCGAGTCCTGTTGGTGGGGACAAGGTGCTCTGGCCAGGACTGCTGAGAGGAGCCCTGGGGTCTGTGGCTAATGTGAAAGGCTCTGCCGGTGCATGGCTGACAGCTGCTCTTCCCAGAGGGAAGACCTCATCTGCCACCAAGGCAGAAAATCAGGCAACTATACCCTGGATTACAGTCTCCTGGGAGCTGACTGGACCTACCCACAGAGCCAGTGGGAAGGATCCAAAGGTTGGGAGTGATTTACACTTTTTAAAGCCAGTTCTAAAATATCCCAATCACATTCATTGTATTTTCATATGCATTATTTTTTCTTAAATAGGAAAGGAGTTAGTTGTCCTATTGCCAGGATGAGCAGCTATGTTAGGAACCCGCTGAAATGCATCTTGGGAAAGAGAAGCTGAGCTGCTGTGGAGGATACAGTGAACATACTGTGTGTTCTAGGGCCTACATAGCCACAGATGGCATCAAAATGATGGTAAGGTCACTCAAAGGTATATGTGACCTTGGAGTGACTTAAGAAAAGATGTGAGTTTCTTTTTTGGGTTGATGAAAGCGCTTTAAAATTGGTCGTTGAGATGGTTACAGAACCACTGGCATTGACCCAGGCCAAGGCGGGCAGGATGGCTGGGGGCAAAGGCATCTGCCATCAAACAAACCAAGGTGGGTATGGTGGTGAATGTCTATAATCATAGCACAAAGCAGGCTGAGGCAGAATTGTGAGTTTGAGACCAGCTTGAGCTACACAGCAAGATTCTGCACCCCACCCCCCAAATCCAGCCAAACCAGACCAAATCAACCACCTAAGCAGCCAGCCAGCCTGTAAGCCTAGAGAAGGACTCTGTGTTGCCGGCAGGGGTTTCGGGTGCTGCAGAACGAATTAGCTCACAGCGAGTGCAGCACCTGCAAGCACCAGGAGCCTTGTCAGGCGGCAGCAGCACATGTCGGGGATGGAACAGTCCTCAGCTTCAGCGCCTCTTCCGTGAAACATCTAGTTGGCCAAGCATACTCATCTTACACCTGTTCTTCCCTCAAAAGTGATGATGAGTAAATAAAGCAGTGTTCACAATTAAGTTTTTACCATGTTCCAAATGCTTCTCACAATGACCTTTGTGAGAAGACCTGAGCAAGACAAGCTAACGTTTTCAGCTGGCTGCATTCCAGATGCCATTCTAGACACGTTAACCCATATAGTCTTCAAAACAGCCAGTATGGCCGAGTCCACTATTGGGCAGGTTCACAGTGGTGCTAGGTGGACGACCCTGGCTTTGAACTGTCTGACTCCCAAGCTTAGGATCTTCACACCCCAGACGACTGCCAGGCAGCTGGCAGAGGAGACAAACAGTTCACGATTCAGAACTAGCTGGGTCAGGATGGTTGCTAATGTTTTCTAAAGAATATTGTAAAGAGCATTAGTACCAAGGGGTCAGAAGCATAGGTTTTAAAAGGCTATGTAAATGGATGCAGGAAACACTGAATGACAGTTTATATTGTGACTTCTCCGAGGCCATGTTTACATTGCACACCAGGAATGTAAACTTAGGTCTAGGACAACAGATTGTGGACATTTTGACTCTGTGCCTTAAATACATGGTTATCCCAGGCTTTCAGTTAAGTAACACCCCGTCCCCCCACTGAAAATATCCTCCCTGGCCTACCACTGAACACCTCCGAGGGAAAAACATCAAAGAAACATCTGTGTTTTGTTCCTCCCCTTTTCCCAAATGCATCCTGTGAATGTGCAGTTTTATAATGTACATCACACGACTGACCCTGGTGACCTTGGATGGCAGTGACAGTCTACTCTTGTGATCCCTTACCTTCTGAAGGGGCCGTGTCTTTTGAGGTAGCATTGGGGGTGTGAATTGATGAGAAACACCAGATTGACAGCCACTGAATCCATTTGCCTCCATTCTCTCAGAGCTTTGGGCGTTTCCTGAAAGAGGATTGTGTGCTGGTGAACTGGACCGGTCTGGACTCCTCCCCACTGGCTCAGTAGTGGGAACATCTAAAGAGTGTTCCGGCCTGCACTGGAAACAGGGATCGTAGGGTTCAGCCTGACAACAGCCCCAGGGTCTGACTTGGTCCTGGCTGAGTTCAGAATTTCTCCAGCAGTCTGCTGCCATGGCTGTGGAGATGAGGTCGGGGCTGGAGCCAGGCATCTGTCTTTGAGCATGGTTGCTGAGCGGGCTCCGCAGGGCTGCTGCTGGGCCAAAGTACCTCAGGTTATTGGCACAGGTCGCAATGTCCTGCCCATGCGTGTTGAGTCTAGGGTGGCGGCTCTGAGGCAGGGCAGGAGGGAGTTGCTGGTTTTGCTGCTGGAGAGGATCGTGCGGATGGACAGAAGGACACTGAGCCTGAGCGTGATGCAGGTGGGTGGGGTGGGGTGAATTCTCCTGGGCTGGCTGGCTTTTTAAGATTGCTGCAAAATCATTATGGCTGCCCCTGCTATTCCCTCGGCGGTGACGTGGTTTGCTTCGATATCGGCTCTTGCTGCTTGAGGTGGACATCTTGGGGCTTCCAGACAGAGGCGATGCAGTGGGACCCGCTTCTGTACTAGGGATGCCTTCAGATCGCAACAGGTCTGGCCTGGGAAGGAGAGCAGATTTGTTTCAAACGCATCAAACCATGCTTAACCCTGGGGTAAAGTACACCGGGCTTCACACACTTTTGGATTATAAGTCTGCAGTGCTGGGATCAAATCCAGTGATGGGTCCCTGCTAGCAAGCCCCCTACATTTCAGCTACACCTGTGGCCCTGCACCCTTTGCTGGTATTGTGTGTATGTTTGCTTGAGATAGTGTCTTACTCTGTAGCCCAAGCCAGTCTCAAACTCTTGCCAATCTTCCTGCTCCAGCCTCCTGAGTACCGGAACTACTAGAGTGAGCCACCTTCCTGGCTCCACACACCCTTTCAGTCAGCATTCACGGACACATGGATTTTATCCAATGGAGACAGCAGATATACACAACCGGGCGGGTTAATGTACAGGACAGCACTGCTTAAAGGAGCAGAAAGTGGGAAACAGTCTAAAGGTCTATTCACAGTGATTTCTTTTTAAATTTAAATTTATTTGAATTATTATTATGGGGAGTATATATGGCGTGTGTGTGTGTGTGTGTGTGTGTGTGTGTGTATGTGTATGTGTGTGTGTGTGTTCCACAGTGCATGTATAAAGGCTAGAGAAAACTTTGGGGGTTGCTGGTTCTCTCCTTCTACCATGGAATCTGGGGACTGAACTCAGGTCATCAGGTTTCTGTATTTTTACCAGGTGAGCTGTCTTACCAGTAGCTTTTATTGCTCTGGATTCTGAGTCACTAACTTACACACTCATTCTTTACAGTTCTGTTCCACAGGTCTTCACTGTTTTCCCTGTGATCCTGGCCGTCAGCTTGGTACCTTGCAGCAAGGTATGGGTGTGGTCTAATGATATACCTGGGCATGCTGCCCATCACAATGAAAAGGGATAGGGTAACACAGAACAAACATCAGGCTCAATAGGCAAGATCTAAGGGGTTCAGTGAGTTTGGCCTAGACATGGTCTCCTGGAAAGATGAGACTATATTTTATCCATCCTTGTATATGACAAGAATGATTCCTGGCAAAGAGTCTTATTTACAACAAGTACTCAATAAATCCTAAAGGCAAGCAGGAAAGGTGGGAACAGAGAGGGAAAAAGGACCCAGGAGGTTAGGCAAAGGCAGCAAGAAAAGGCTAGTGAGAAGCGACAGTGGGTTTCTACTTTTTCTTCCTTTTTTTGAGACAGGATCCCTAGCCCAAGCTGGCCTGGACCTTCGCTGAGGACATTGTGCAAACCATCCTGCTTCCACCTCCTGAGTACTGACAATTGCACACGTGTGTCGCTGTGGTGCACATGCTGGGAACTGAATTCAGGGCATTGTGCATGTCATGAGAACACTCTACCAACCGGGCTAGGCCCCCAACCTAACATTCTGCTTTTAATCCTCCCGGGAGGAGGCCCTACTCAGCTGTGTTCCAGTACCTACAGGGCCGGCATGAGGGTCCCATGCAGCGGGAGCCAGAGCCTGAAAGTAGATCTCAACAAGCTGTTCCTGAGCTGGGTTCAGGGTCACTTTCTTTCTTGCCGGCCAGCGCTGTGTGTTTGGGACCAGACATGACACAATGTAGGAGGAGTTTTTAGAGCTGGGAGGCCCACACGTCCCTTTTCAAACAGCGGAAACGGCTAACTCTGAGGCAGCCTGACGCGATGCGGTGGTGCTGGCTGGGAGAGGGTAGGCAGCAGCCCCCTCTGCATGCTGCCCTAGCCCCTCCCAACTCAGCTGCAGCATCTGACACACACCCCTGCAAGCCCCAGAGTGCTTCGGACACTGCTGCTGGTCAGCCTGTGCTGGACCTGGTGGAAGACCAGGGGCTTCTCCTGAGACACGGGAGCCCTCTAGGGCTGGGTTAGCATGCACTTGCGTGGTAACAGGCTGTGGGGATCCAAAGGAGAGTTGAGGAGAAACTGTCCCGAGTCAGGCAATGTGCAAACCCCACAGAGTGATCTTGCTCTAACATTTCACAGCCTGCAGAACTCCTGATGCTATGTAATGTGCCTGTTTCTCACTATTATATCGGCACTCCATAACGGCAAGGTTGGCGTTTCACAAGGGTTGGCGTGTCATCATCAAGCAGAGCTGATTCTTTGACCTGGGGGCTTTTACTCCAGGGCACAGTTCTCTCCCACCTCCGGCTTCTCTTTCACATGGACTCCTGTGGAAAACAGGCTGAGAGGACCTACCAGGAAACTGTGATGGCCAAGAGGGACTCTTAATAGAAGGACTACCTCCATCAGACTTGCCTGTGGGCATAACTGTGCGGTATTGTCTTAATCGCTAATGTAGGAGAGCCCCACCTTCTGTGGGCTGGGCATTCCTAGACACTGGCCTGGGCTGCCTAAGAAAGGCAGCTGGATGTGAGCCTGAGGGAAAGACAGGAACCAGTCAGTATTCCTCCATGGTCTCTGCTTAGTTCTTTTCTCCAGGTTACTTCTCGAGTTCCTATCCTGGCTTCCCTGAACTATGGACTGTAACCTGTAAGCTAAAAAACCAAACCAAAACAAAACCACCAAAAACCAAAACCACTCTTTCCTCCCCGAGTTGGTTTTGGTCAATGTTCTATCATAGCAACAAAAGCAAATGGAGCTCAACTCCCTTCTAGTTCTTGACTAAATGGTGAGCTGGAATTGAGAATTCAGATGATGACTGGTCTCTTTTCTCTCTGACCTCTCCCAAGATCTCTGAATGACTTGGAAATGACTGAACTGTCTAAATAACCTAACACTTCTACCCATGAAGGTGGCTGACATTACAGTGCCTGGCAGGCTGCCTGCCTTGGGTCTGGCTCTTGGGCTCTCCTACTAGTGGTGGCAAACTCTCAAAGAGTTTTCATGGCCAGCTTAAAAGGAACATCAACTCCTATTTTAAGTCACATGGACCTTTGGCTTCCTGGGTACAGTTGGTCTTAAAACTGTAGGCAGAGAAGAGTCGGGCAGGTGGACTCTGTCCCTAATTAGTATAACAAGACTAAAAAGAGGGTTGTGCTAGCCGCCACTGAAAACAGCTTCTCAGCTATTGAGCAGAAGGTGGTGAGGACAGTAAGTAAATGGAAGCCTGGAATTAGTTCACGATGTGGTCATTAGGGGTTATGACTGTAGTAGCTGCTCTACACTGTTTGCATAGCCTTCTAAGAAATTCTTGACCTAGGAAATAAGGCAACAACTGGCAAGAGGGATCTCGTGAAATTAAAAAGTGTCTCCACAGTGAAGGAAACAAGTTAACTGAGTGGACAGCCTTCTGAGTAGGGTAAAAATCTTTGCCAGCTATACATCTGACAGAGGACCAATATGAAGAAAAACAAAGATCCCCAGAAAACAAACAATAAGTGACCAAATTAGAAAATAGGCTAAGGAACTGACCAGAATATCTTCAAAAGAAGAATTACAAATGGCCAATATAGACTCTAAAGTGCTCCTCGACAGGACAGGGGAGACAGCTCAGTCAGCAAGTTGCCTGACACAAACGCTTGAGGAAATGAGTTTGACCCCCAGCACCCATGTTTTCAAAAAGAAGTCAGATGTAGTGACATGGTCTTGTAATCTCAGCTTGGAGTGGGGTTGATTCGGGGTGGGGGAAAGGGGGGTGCACGGGCAGGTACATTCCTGGGTCCCACTGGCCAGCCAGCCTAGCCTACTTAGGGAGCTCTGGGCCAATGTGAGACTCTGTTTCAAAACAAAAAACAATGTGGATGTCATCTGAGGAACAAGAGTCAAGGATGACGTCTCTCCATGTGTACGTACTTACATGTGCACCTGTACTTCTGTGCACACCTATGTATATACACACAGACTGAAAAAAACAGCGTTCCACACCTGTAGACACCAAGGAAATGTAAATTAAAACTACTTTGAAGTTCCTTCTCGCCTCAGTTAATGACTGTCATGGAAACACATGTGACAAACAAGTGCTGGCAAGGCTGTGAAGAGGAACTTGGTCAGTGTTGCTGGGAGTGTAAACTGGGGCAGCCGCTATGGAAATCAGGAGGTGCCTCAAAAAGCTAGAGCTAGAACCACCACACGGCCAGTTTTACCCCACCACCGAGAATCACGTACACACTGTTTACTGCGGCCTAAAAACTCATCAACAGAAGAGTGGGTAACAGAAATGAGGTACACATACACAACGGGATTTTAGTCAGCTGTAACAAAAAATGAAAGTATAGAAAAGCCAGGAAAATGAACGGATCTGAAAAATACTATATTAAATAAGGTAACCCAGGCTCAAAGACAAATACCCCATGTTCTCTGTCATATGTGGATCTCAGCTTCAAATGTAGACACATGTATTCATGTGAGAGTAAGCATGTGTGGAGGAAACTAGGAAGGGGTCCCTGAGAGTCAGGGGAAGGACTTAGGGGAGAGGAGTGGGAGGGTTACGGAGTTCATCTGATATGAGGAGGAAGAATATTATGGGTAGAAGGGTTTAAACAGGGATGGTGAACAGAGATATTGGGGGTGGGGAGGAAGAGAGAGAAGAGAATTGTATGGAGGGTCAACCAAATCTAAGAACGTATGAAAATGCCATAAAACCCTGCTGCTTTCTAAGTTAATAAAAATTTCAAAGTTAAAAATGCATTCTTGGCTTGTAATTTCTACTTTTTTTTTTTTCTTACTGCATTTGATTCAAGTGTTACAAGCCCAGGCTTGGGACATTCTCTCCTTTCTATTAACCTGTCTGGGATGGAGCCAGTTCTCTGGCATGTGAGATTTATAAGGCTTATAGCATTTAGTAATTCTAAAAGGAGTGACAAGTATTCTGGAATGTTTTCAAGGGTGCTAGGCATTGAACTTGAGGCCTCATGCATGCTAAGCCCACATTCTACAAAGATGTATCTCCACTCTCTAAAACTGTGATTAAACCAATATACAGCAAGTATGAAAGGGGAAAGAAGCTGGGTGGTGGCGGCGCACGCCTTTAATCCCAGCACTCTGGAAGCAGAGGCAGGTGGATCTCTGTAAGTTCGAGGTTAGCATGGTCTACAGACTGAGTTCTAGGATGGCTAGGGCTACACAGAGAAACCCTGTCTTGAAAAAACCAATAGCTAGCTAGATGGATGGATGGATGGATAGATAGGGAAAGAATGGTTTCTCAAACTTAAATCTTGATTTTGAACACCAGTGCCCTAAAGGTGATGTCACGTTATTCAAACTTCACAGATGGATGTGATTACACATATTTGTTATCTTCCTAGCTACATAAGAGGTTAACACAGGAGGACATTGAGTTTGAAGCTAGCCTGTGGGCAACTACCTAACAAACAACCAAAAGTCATAACAATTCCATTCAGGGGGAGGAGGAATGATTGGTTAGGTATACATAATTACCAATGCCCTGTTTTCAGTTTTGGTGGCGAGTTACACATTATAAAGAAGAACTAAGTAAACAATGATCAAGTGTGCACAGACCACTGTGTCAAAAATCAAGAATTACGATGAACTCAGCCCTGTTCCTAAGGGTTCTAAGAATAGAAAGAAATCCCATGTGCTGTAATGATACCATTTACCCATGAGGATACTGATGTTGCCCTGGCCCAAGTCACACACTTCCTGAGCAGGGCTGAAGTCAACCCAGATCTAACTGTCCCTGCTGTATACTTCTCTTTCCTGTATCTGGTGCTAAGATAGAGTGCCCCAGACAGGAGAAGATGAGACTCCTAACGTCTGTGCCACACTCTCTCTTGTCTTCCTACTTGATTTCATCTACAGCCCAGTGTGCTGCTGGTGAGCTAGAGCTGGCCATGTCCAACCCACTCTGAGAAGGCCTTTTCACAGGTGTCCTTGTCTCCCCAGGTGTGGGATGGATGGACACAGCTGTCTCACCGCTTAGTCTGTGCTCCCGCCTTGTGAGGTGTGCCCTTCCGTTTCATAAGTTTCTCCATGGCATTTGGGTGGATTATTGGACGGACAGGGTGTCGTTTGTAGGTCCCAGGATACTTCTTTTCCACTGCTTGCTCTCGCCTGTGGGACAAGGAAAAAAATAAAACAAAACACTCCTTGGTTTTGGTAGACAGAGAGGCAGGATGGAGATTGATGGAAGAGAAACAGACTCTGATCAGAGGTTGCTAACTAGAGCACTATATTAATCATCCTCTACAGGACAGGTGGGCACTGGGGATGTGGCTCAGTAGTTAAGAGAACTTGCTGTTCTTCCAGAGGTCCTGAGTTCAATTCTTAGCACCCATGTCAGGTAGTTCAGAACTCCAGACCCAATGGGGCATAGAACTAAACAGAATTCTCAAAAAAAAATATGTATAGATGAGAAACATTTTAAAGAAATGTTCAGCATCCTTAGACATCAGGGAAATGCAAATAAAAACCAGTTTGAAATTTCATTTTACCTTAATTAGAACAGCTAACATTAAAAACACATAAAGAAAACAAACAAACAAAAAAAACCAAAAACAAACAAAAATAACCCCCAAACAAATGACAAGAAATGCTAGCATCATCGTGGGAAAGGAGAACACTTATTCACTGACGGTGGAAGTGCAAACTGGTGCAAGCACTGTGGAAATCAGTGTGAAGTTTCCTCAAAAAGCTAGAAATAGGCCCATCACATGATTCAGCTATCTTACTCTTGGTCATGTACAGGAAACACTCCATATCCTGCTATGGAGATACCCACTTGTCCACGCTCATTGCTGCATTATTCACAATAATCAGGAAACGGAAACATCCTAGATATCCATAAACTGATGAATGGATAATGAAAAGCTGATGCATTTACACAATGAAATATTATTCAGTTATCAAAAGAATGAAAAGGGCCTGGAAAGATGGCTGTGCAGTTAAGAGCAGTGGCTGTTCTAGAGATCTGGGTTTGAGTCTCAACACCACATGGTAGTTCACAACCATCTGTAAGTCAAATGGATCTGATGTCCTCTTTTGTGCCCTCTCTGTCCTCTGTGAGCCCTATATACACATGGTGCAAAGACACAGATACAGGCAAAATAAACCTACAAGTAATTTTTAAAAAAGAAAATAAAATAGAAAAATCTCAAAATGAAGAAAAATATGAAATTGGAAGGTAAATGGCTGGAGCTGGAAACGATCATTCTGATGAGGTAACTGACCTTTCTTTGTGGAAGCTAGCTTTAGATTTTCAGGTAGGTATGTTTCACTTGGAATATCCAAAGCGGTCAGGAAAATACTAAGGGGTGTGGCACTGCGGGGGGCTCTAAAGGGAGAGGAGCTAGAAAGCCGTGGAATAAAGCTCAAAGAGGGTGAATGTAACAGGCAGGGTTAAATCGGCATGGGGAACGGGAGAGCAGGGGAGTGGAGAGGATATGGAAAGGAATTAATATGTCTATAAACTTTTCACAACAATTAAATGGAAACCTACTTACTACTATAGAAGCTTACACACACACACACACACACACACACACACACACACACACACACGCAGAGGGAGAGAGAGACCCTATAAAGGTTCACCAGTGCTCTTACTAGACACCACAGGCTAACAAATAAAGAGCTCAGTGTCAGGAATGGATTACTTCTTTTGTAGTTTTGGGCTCCATTGATCCAAAACTTTACAGGCTATTGCCAGTGCTCTTGGTTACCCTCCAGAATTTGACAGCAAGACCCTAGTGCTGAAGATCTGTAGCTGAATCACAGAGCACGGAGATTTTAAGCTGGTATGACTTGGAAGCCTCATCTCTCCTGGTTAGCTTTCACGGTGCTGGGAGGTACCACATAGGCTCCGAGGAGGAAAGCAGTTATCTTACCTGCTGTGAACTCGGATCTACACTAATGACCAGCTGACAAGGTACCTTCACTGGTACAATAGTGGCACAGACAGCACAGGAGTTACAACCACTTTCTCATTCGGGCTTAAGTCCCACACCTGGCGCCATTTTCAGGCCAAGCTTCTCCAGCTGGACAGGTCATAGGCCCCAGTGGAGAACCTCCTACTAGTCTGCTAAATGGACATAGTATTAATTGATCCCTAATGACATCTTCTTATACCTATAGATTTATGCATCTTTCTACCCTCATCTGAGAAGCTTCAATTTTAAGTAGGTGGTGATTAATAAAGTGACCCGCAGCTGGCTGAGGTGCAGAGAATAAGAGGCTGTTGTGGAGTGTTCAGTTCAAAATGAAACATAAGTACTGTACCCTCTCCTCCCAAAGGCTCAGAGAACACAGAGGACGAAGGGGCAAGAAAGACTGTAGGAGCCAGAGGCAGTGAACAAATCATGAAAACAGTGTCCTCTGGAGACAACAGGACAGTCACACATAGGGATTTAAAGTGGACGAGACAGCATGCACAAGCTCAAACCATATCCTACCAAGGAGACAGGAGTTTGACATGAAGTCCCAACCCTAAGCTGGGGAGCTACTGGTGATTAATGGCTGCTCAGAGAGAAAGAGCTAGTTGTCTTCAGTGTTGTCCATAAGGGAGCGTGAAGTTAGATGGGTAAGGAAGCAGAGGTGGGTCTGGGAGGAGACAGGTGAGAGCTGAAGATAGTCAAAACTCAGCTCACTGTATGAAATTCTCAAACAGCTAATTTGAAAAATACCTTAAGAAGAAAAGGGGTCCCATTCATATTAATAGTATATAAATTGTAGATAATATATGTAGAGTAAATTATCTTTTAAACAGAGAGAGGAGGATGGTCAGTGCAGAATATTTTCGTTTGCCTACAAGTTCTGGCCACACGTGACAGAGACCAGCTCGTGTCTAACGAGGCTGCTACTCAAGTTTAAGCAAACAAACGGAAGGTACCAAATCTAAAGTAACTCGATTTTACTGTTCTCAGCTCAGACTCACGCATTATCTTCCTCTTCCCCAACACAATAAAGGACAGAGGGGTCCAGACCCCATGGTAGTTTGGGCACCACCAGGGATCCTTTGCACAATTTTCGGCAGTACTTTACTTTCCGAAGGTCATTAAGTTTCTGCGTATGCACGCTAATTTCTTCTGAAAATGAAGCCCTTCTCTGAACCATGTGGCAGATGGCTGGTCTGAGAACTGCTCCCGCAGCGGACCCACAGCAGCGCTGCTAGCTCGTATGCCTCACCCTCGAGGGGATCTGTGGACAGTGAGTTCTTGAGGAACGCTGACTGAACAACTACAGTATCTGTCTGTCCACTGTAGTGGTACCACATGAGAGCAGGACGGCCAGCTGACTGGCACGCTCAAGCAGCAAGCGGGCCATCCTGGGGCCGAGCACGTACTTGAGGAGTTCCTTCTCCCGCATTTCCAGCTGCAGCATGATGGCACTCAGTTCCATGTACAGGTTGTTAGCGCGCTCAAGCTTTCTCTCATAGTGCTCTCGGATATCCAGGGCATGCCTGTCGATGAAGACACACGGAGCAAGACTGAGAACAAGGTCAGCTCGAATGAAACATGCTCAGTGGTTTACTTCAGAACACTAGCCTGGGGGTCTCTACTTTAAAATTTTTCTTAACACAGTAACTCAGACAAGAAGGAGTGGGACATGGGAAATCTGAACTGTGTGTCTTATCCCAAGGGCCCTCCAGCCACATGGAAAGCCAGACGGGCCACAGATACAGCAAGAACACAGTATACTTTATGTATGTCCATTGCGCACACTGGCACAATCAATACCACATGACATATTCATACGTTAATGGAAAGGATTTAAAGTTAACACCAAGATCACATGCTTATCCATGGCACGGAGCTTATCCGGGCTGGCGTGGTCTGCATGCTTCCCCTCAGATCCAAATGCAAACCATCACCCAGAGGATGACGGTGCTGAAGGAGGCAGGGGGTATGAGACGGAGCCCCTTCATTTCTCCACCGTGTGAGGACACATGCGGGTGCCACAGCATGAAAGGCATCTACACCAGACACTGAATTTGCTGGTGCTTTAATTTTTAACTACTCCACCTCTGGAGCCATGAGCACTACACTTCTTCCATTTCTAAATTGCTAAAGCTAAGACATTCTTGTTATAGAAGCCCAACTGCCTAATGCAGTGGTTATCTTGAGGCTGGGAACTGGAGCTTAGAAACTCCAGGCCTCCATGGGCACTGAGGACAGCAGAAGTGCTCTAAGAATCTCTGTTGTGGAGGGACATAAGGGAGGGAACCAGCCAGAGGAGACTGTAGAAGTTATACATGAAGGGAACCGTGTGTGCACGTGTGTCCACATGCCACGGTATATGTGTGGAGGGAGGAGGACAATCTGAGGAGCTGTTCCTCACCTCACACTGAGCTGGAGGCTCTCTGCTTGCCTCTGCACTGCGCACCCCAGGCTGGCTGGCACACAAGCTTCCCGTCTTGTGCTAGGAGCTCACGGATCACAGACAGCTGCTGTGCTCCACTTTCTACGGGTTCTGGCAACTCAAATTCAGGTCTCCACCCACCTGTGGCAAGGCCTTTACTGCACCATCTCCCTAACCACCATCTCTCTAACTTTTTATTGCTCAGATGTTATTTTTTAACTGACAGGAAAGTTGAACGTGTGTACCAAGTGATATTTTGATACATGTGTTTGTTGTATAGTGCTCAGATCTTCGGCTGGAGAGATGGTGCAGCAGCTAAATGCATGTACTGCTCTTCTGGAGAACTGGACTTCAGTTCCCGGCCCCCAGTCAGGTGGCTTACAACTACCTGTAACCCCAGCTCCACCCCTGGAGCTGATGCCCCTGGCCTCTGTGGGCATCTGCATACATGTGCTTGAGAGACCAAAGAATTAAAAATTCAATAGTTTTTTGAGCTATTGGATTAAAGCACAAGCCTGAACCAAGGCCAGACAGGTGGAGACATGTCCAGCCACCTCAGGGAGGAACCAGCCTTGCTGCATTCTTTCCTGCCCACTAGAGATACAGATGCTAGGAAACTGGTCCAGATCACCACTCTCCCCTAGGAGAGCCAAACAAGGGAAGCCAGACAGTTAATGGTTTGGGGGCCTTCCTACAGCCAATCAGTTAAAAATGCAACATCCCCTTTTGCGTTTCAACCAATAGATGCTTGCCAGGCAGGAATTCCCCTGCTTTGGGCATGCTAGGAGGGACTGGGATCTTTAAATTATCCACCTACCCTGAGATCAGGGCTCTCTACTCTCAACCACTGCGTTGGTGAAGATGTGAGCCCAAGCTCTAGGTTGTAATAAAAAGATCCTCATGTGCTTTGCAACGGACTCGACTCCTGGCAGTCTTTTCCGGGACTCACAAATCAGGTACAACATGCTCATACTAATACAGAATCATAAACATCATTTAAAATAATAAATTAATGAAAAAAAAATCATGGTAACCATGATCCAACAACGATCATTTCTTTATGTTGGAAACATTCCAAACACCTTCTTCTAGCTTTTTTAATTAAAAAAAAACAAAACAAACCAGGAAATCCCAAAGTTAGTGGTGGCTCAGGCCTACAAGCCTTGTACCCCGGAGGCAGAAGAAAGCAGATCTCTGTGATTTCTAGATCTACACAGTAAGATCCAAGCAAGCAAGGACCACATAGTGAGATCTTGGCTCAAGCAAGCAAGCATACCTGAGTGAGGGAGCAAGTGAGTTGAGCAGTCAGTTCCCTGTCACTACCTGCCACCCTAAAGTGCACAAGGGAACTTTCTTCTAATTGTAACAGCATCCCTTAGTCAGCGCCTCCCAGCCCGTCCCTCTGCACACCATTCTGGTCTCAGCTTCTTTGAGGCAGGCTTTTCCAGACTCCCCAGGAGGGCTAACTCGGAGCAATGGAAAGTGAGGGGGAAGATGCGGGAGATGAAGTGGCTGTTCACCATGTTCCTGCTCATTTCTGGGGTGAAAAGAGGGCGGGGTGAGAAGAGGGCGGGGCGACAAGAGGGGCCGCGTCAGCTGACCTGAGCTCCTCCCTGCGCCGGCGAATCAGTTCTTCATCTAATCGGTGTATACAGGTCCCTTCACTTTTGATTTTCTCAAAGTGTTTTTTCACTTCTTCTCTCCATTCGGCCTGAGTGAGGAAAGTTTAATTTTGTGAATGCTATAGTTTCCATCCCTGATGTGTCCATGCGATCCCGTACAAGGCATTTCCCTCTGTGCCTTTGCATGCTTTCCCAAACCTCTAACATGAGCTCCTTCAAAGACAAGACATCCCCCCACGGCTGAAACTGCAAGCCCCGCCCTGAACACAGTGCCTTCTCTTTTCCAGTTTCCCCCCAGCAGTGGCCACTAGAAACAGCACGGGGCACAGTGAGCGCCCCTTCTGGGACAAAAGTGTTCTACTGCAGTCAAGGGAGTGCGGAGGCAGAAAGCCCTGCCGGCTGTGGTCCGCTCTAGTTGATTCCCAGTTATCTTCACATCTGCTGCAACATGGGCTGCGCTTGGGCCAGGAACTGAGCATCCTAGAGGAAGCGCGCACACGGCAGAACACTGCACAGGAATATGGACTGAGAGGGCGAGGAGGGAGTCTAATACACGGACACAGGTCAGCTGAAGCTCTTTCCACTTTTACCCAGTGAACTCTTAAACACACATTTTGGCTTAAGATGAAGTGAGGTATTGTTGTTGATTGTTTGTTTCTGTTTTTGATTTTCCAGACAGGGTTTCTTTGTGTAGCCCTGGTTGTCCTGGAACTCATTCTATAGACCAGCTGGCCTCGAACTCACAGAGGTCCTTCTGCCTCTGCCTCTAGAACGCAGGGATCAAAGGCATGCTCGGGACAGTTTGTCTGTGCAGTTTTTTTTTTTTTTCTTAAATTCACTTAGAAATAAAGAAAGGTGCTGAATTTCACATTGGGGTCAGCAATAGGTCTACCACACACGATGGCAGAAGTTGGGGTAAAGAATTTTAGGCGGAAGCATTTTAGGGAGGATGCCAGGCAGTGGTGGCACACCCCTTTAATCTAAGCAGAGGCAGAGGCAGGCACATCTTTGTGAGTTCCAAGCCTGCCTGGTCCAGGGCAAGTTCCGGAAGAGCAAGGGCTTACACAGAGAAACCTGTCTGGAAACACTTCCCCCACCTCAAAAAAAAAAAAAAAAAAATTAAGGCGGAGATCCAGGGTAGCTATGACACCACCTATCTGCCACAAGCTCACAGAGAAAGGACACTGCGCCCTCCATGAGACACAACTTCCTGGTCAACTTCAGAGGCTGACAAACCTCTGCTGGATCAATAGGACGCATCAACAAGAGCTCCACTTGGCGATTTTCTTGAGCCTGATGTGTGGACCAGCACAGGAGCCTGACAAGGCAGCCTGTGGTGTGTGCCGGCTGTGTGACGGAGGGTCTCTAGTAGTGTGCACTGTCCTGGCACTGTCCCCTCACCTTGGGGAACAGGCTGACAGAGGAACCGCTGGATCATTTCAGCCCTTGATTTCTGAGGAGGTGCTGTGCTGCTTTCTATAGCGTCGTACCAGTTCCGCTCCCACCAACGGTCTGGCAGGCCCCGATTCCTCACATCACCACCGACACTTGTCTTTGCTGCTCCTGCTAACAGCGTCCCATTTCTCAGTATCCACCCGAAGGAATTGAAACCAAGATCTCGAGAAGAGGTTAGCACCCCACCTCACTGCACTGTTCACATCGGCGCTCCTGACTGGCAGCTGGGATCAGGCACTAACAAGGATGGACAGTCGATGCCAAGGGCATCTTGTCAGTAGGTGACAGGGAGCAAGGTCACAGATATAAAAGACTGCTACAGTTAGAGCAAAACCATGTGAGCTGAAACACCCAGTTATTCCTTATGGAGGAGAATAATGACAAAAAAGATCAGCATCCATCTTATTAATCTGGAGAGCTTTTCAGATAAAACATCGAGACAGTAACAACCCAACTCAGGCTGAGTGTTTTTAAGCTTCCTGGCAAGTAAAAATAGCATGTTACAAGCAAACAGTGTACAGGACACCTGTGGTCCTGTTCTCCACTTGACCTTCACCGGGACTCCTTAAGTATTGTTTAGGTGAGTAGATTGGGGTCACACAGCATTAAGACATAGAGTCAGGATAGGGTTTAGAGTAGCCAGTTCATAAATACTTCATTATCATTAGCTGGAGATGGTCTCAATTTCAGACCTGGAAACATATCAGTTTACAAACAGGTGAAAAGTTATTGCAACTAGCTAGCATAGCAGACCAGAGGCTATTTAAGGAGAAATGAGGTTTTGTGTTGGGAGGAAAACATGGAGGAATTAGTGAACAGAATAGATACTGCTATGCTCTGAACGTCTGTGTCCTCATGCCCTGAGACCCCCCAAGGGAAAGGGGTGAGGTGGAGCTTGTGGAGGTGATAGGCCAGGAGGGTATCCATGTTTTAGGGTGGCTAAGCATCCTCGGGATGCTGGGGCTGGCCTGCCCTTCACCATGAAGGACACAGAGGAGAGCATCCTTTGTAAAGCAGGACTCGTGTCCTTCCCATGCCCGGATCTGCAGGGAGCCTGGGCTTGTCTTGGACTTCACAGCCTCAGAACCCTGAGGAATAAATTTCTGTTGTTGACAGACTACCCGTGGACAGTAATTTAACCTGGCAGCCCATGTTAAAGCAGATGCCCAATTCGCTCTTCTCTCCTCCCGCGCCCTCATCGTTCCTCTCCTGGCTCCAGAAGAACCTCTGCAGGTCAGCACTCGCCTCGTTGTGATTATTGACTCCACAATGACAGTGCATTGGCATACTGGGGGAATGATGGAGGCACCCAGTTGCTCTGCACAGTGCTTTGCATATGATAGCATTGAAGGAAAATCTTAGAATTAGACATTTTCCAAATATACATTGTTAAATGGACTGTCTTGATGGCTTTTGACATATCGCTTTCACCAAAATTTGCTTTTCAAAGTTGTGGTAATAGATAGTTTTCTAGTAAAGGAAGCAAAGCTGCGTGCAACCATACCCTACATTTGAAAGATTTCCCAGAGAGCACTGGCTGCTACTCTTGTTTCACAGAAGGATAACATCGTGTGTGTGTGTGTGTGTGTGTGTGTGTGTGTGTGTGTGTGTGTGTGTGCACAGGTGGACAGAAGTGCATGGAAAGCAGAAGAGGGCATCAGATCCCCAGGAGCTGAAGTTATAGGTGGTTGTAAGCCACCTAATATATGTGCTGGGACCTGAACTCAGGTCCTCTGGAAGAGCAGCAAGTGCTCTTAGCTGCTGAGCCATCTCTCCAGCTCCAGAACTTCAGCTTTTAAATTAAGATCTTTAATCGACTTTGAGTTGATTTTTGTCCTTGGTGAGTATAGTGAGAATTTTGTAATTTTTTTAAACACAGAAATTTTATGGAAAATATATTTTCATTTTAATGCCAGGCATGGGGATGAGAGGCTGCTTTACAGCAGGTGACTATGATTTGCCTCATGCACTATCAGAGGCATAGTTTTGCCAGCTTCTGATAGTTTCTTCCAGTGTGTGATGTTTGGAATTCTGGGAACTATGCAGAGGAGAAACAAATGCTAGGGGTCCGAGAGGTGAGGTTGCTGTTGTTGGCTGGTTGGTGATTAGTTGCTGTTTGTCAAGTAATCATGTACAAAGAAACGAGAAGAAGAAATTACATGTCCTGACTGTGAAGCTCAAACTTGCCTCAAGGAACTCGATGCCCCTAGTCAGCAGGAAGTGCTCTAACGATAACAACACTCCCCTTCCCATCTATCCTTCTTTCTCTTCTACCTAGTGTTGGGGGGTTGGAAGGGTGATATAAGGGATGGTAAGGGTGGAAGAGGGTAAGGAACCCACAAAGTAGTAAAGTCCAGTTACAGCTGAGAGATGTGGATCTAATCTTTCGCAGATGGACATCCAGCTTTGCCAGAACCATTTGTTGACTAGATTTTCCTCCCAGTGCATGGTCTCGATGTGGGCGGCCAGAGCTGTGGTTTATTTCTGATTCCAGGGGAATGTGCTTCTATGCCAGTGCCATCAGGTTCATCACTAGGGCCCCCTGGTGTAATCTAAGGTGATACTTCAGTGCCACTAGCAGCATTCTTTCTGCTTAGGACCCTGTGCTCCGCATGCTCCTTTGTGATTCCATATGAACTGCAGGGTGGTTTTCCTTAGCTCTCTGAAGAACGTCATTCGAATTCTGATGGGAACTGCATTGAATACGTAGGTTACTTTGGTTAATATGACCATTTTCATTTCAGTAATTCTGCCAATCCAGGGACACGGAAGGCTCATCATTGCCTAGTGTCTTCTTTAATTTCTATTTTCATTTGTCTTAAAACTTTCATTGCAGAAGCTTTTTCATATACGTAGGAGGTTTATTACTAGGTACTTAGTTCTGGCAGGAGGAGCTATTGCTAATGAGATGTTCTTCCTAATTTCTTTCTCAACAAGTTAACTATTATTTATATTTATAAAAGCTGCTGGGTTTTGTATGTTGATATAGTTCACAACTTTATTGAATGTGTTTATTAAATCTAAGAGCTTTCTGGCAGAGTCTACAGGATCTCTTAAGTGTAGGATCACGGCTGTAAATAGGGATAATTTCATTCGACTTTTAAACTTTAAACTTAGAAATTTCTTTTGTCTTGTTGTTTTAACTAATACTTTGAATAAGTAACAATAACACTGAATAATAAAAGATGGTGAGCACTTTTGTTTTATTTCAGGTTTTAGAGGAACTGTTTTCTGCTTTTCCCCATTTAGTATAATGTAGGCTCCCACTTTGTCACATCTAGTCTTTATTGTTCCAAGGTATGTTTTGTCTAATGCTAACTTCCTTCTCCAGGACTTAAAAAACACATCCACCTATCTATCCACCCATCCATCCACCCATCCATCCATTCAGTGTGTGTGTGTGTGTGTGTGCCAGTTCTCTCTCTCTCTACCACATGGGCCCCAGGGATAGAACTCAGTTACTAAGCTTGGCAGGAAGTATCATAATTCATTGAGCCATCCCACCAGCCCTTCTCTAGAACTTTTGCCATGAAAGCATGCTGAACTTTGTCAAATGTCTTTTATGCATCAATAGCAGTGACCATGTGATTGCTGTTCTTAACATTACCTTTACAGGGTCTATGTATGAGTATGGTTCAGTGGTTAAAAAAGCTGTCCTGGAATCACGGGACTTGAATTCAGATCACAGAACCTGTGTAACAGGTTAGATAGTCCCATAAACGCCAGCAGCGCCACCTCTGAGGTTCGTCTTCCTTTTTTTTTTTTTTTTTTTAAGACTTATTTATTATGTATACAATGTTCTGCCTGCATGTACGCCTACACACGGGAAGAGGGCACCAGATCTCATTATAGATGGTTGTGAGGCACCATGTGGGAGCTGGGAATTGAAATCAGGACCTCTGGAAGACCAGCCAGTGCTTTTAAACTCTGAGCCATCTCTCTAGCCCGAGGTTCGTCTTCTTATTTTCATTTATTCTCTTATTCTGTCATGGGTGAGATAGAATCTTGAAGCAGTTTGTGTTTCCATGGTGGCGGAGGATGTTGAGCAGTTTCCAAGTGTTTATTTGCACTTACAGTTCTTTTGAGAACTGTTTATTCATTCTGTTATCTTCTTACTGACTTTGGTGGTTACTTTTTGTAGTTATTTGTTTTTCTGGATATTTATCTCCTGTCTGATGTGGAGTTGGTAATATCTCTTCACTGTGGTTACTTTCCTTTGGCTGTGCAGAAACTTTTGAATTTTACACTCTCCTGTGTCAGTCCTAGGGTTACTTCCTATGCCATTGCAATCTTTTTTCAGAAAGTCCTTGCTTATTTTTACATCTTCAAGTATTTTCCTTATGTCTTTTTCTCTGGTGCTCTCAAGGTTTCTGGTTTAGCATTATGGTTTTTGATCCATTTTTGTGCAGGGTGTGTGTATGAGAGAAAGATGTATTTTCATCGTCTATATGTTTCCTCAGCACCATTTTTCAAAGAGGCTGTATTTGTTCCAATGTATGCGTTTAGCCTTTGTTGAGAATCAGGTGTCTGGGCTGTCTATTCTGCTGTTTACTTATCTGTTCCTATGCAGTACCACACTGTTTTTCTGCAGCATTGAGATCAGGTGTTACTCCAGCATTACTCCTCAGGCTCAGGATCACTTTGAACTTTTTGATTTTTGTGCTTCCTTATAGTTTAAATTTTTTTTTTTTAATTCTGTAGACAATGCAATTGGTATTTTGATGGGGAATGTCTTGAATTTGTGGATCAGTTTCAGAAATCTAGTTGTCTTACTTAGGGGTGTCTATTTGCTCTGATGAAACATGATGACCAAAAGCAATCGGGGAGGAAAGGGTTTATTTGGCTTACACTTACAGTTTTTTTACATTGTAGTTCTTCATGAAGGAAGTTAGGACAGGAACTCAAACAGAGCAGGAACCTAGTGGCCAGACCTAATGCAGAGGCCATGGAGGAGTGCAGCTTTCTGGCTTGCTTTGCATGCATGCTCAGCCTGCTTTCTCATAGAGTCCAGACTGCCAGCCTAGGGGATGCTACCACCCACAATGGGCCAGGCCCTCCAGCATCAGTCACTAATTAAGAAAGTGCGCTAAAGCTGGATTTTATGGAGGCATTTTCTCAACAGAGGTTCCCTCCTTTCAGGTAACTCCAGCTTGCGTCAAGTTAACATGAAGCTGGCCAGCAGGCTAGGTGACTGCACAAGATTGGTTTTTGCCAATCCTTGCTTCTTGGAGATCTTTACCACCACCTGCTATCTTCAGTCTTGCCTCTTCCCTCTGTGCCTTCACTGTGTGTCTTTTATTTCTCTGCCCAGGCTCTTCTCATTGTGACGAGATCTTCCTCTCTGTTGCTGTTCTCAGCAGGCTTATCTCTGATAACTCCCGTATGTGGATTTCATGGTCTGTGATTTGCTGAGAACGTGTGCTAGATCTAAAAATTTTCTGGAGGAGGCTTTGGGGTCTTTTAAGAACAGGTTCCTGTTGTGGTCAAGTAGATCCCTTGATTTCTTCCTTTCCTATTTGCACTGTCTCTGCTTCTTTCTTGAGTCTGGTCCTCTTCTCAGCAGATGCTTTCCCTGTAAGATCATTACACACTGGGGACAGGGTCTTCAGTGCAGGGTAGATGACTAACAACAGCGCTCACATTTTTATGTATCAGAACCTCACTATTGTCTAATAAATTATTGCAGACACTACAAAACATTTGTTTATGTGTACAATAACTACTGATAGCAGGCTAGGTATTAAAATTGAGAGTTATATACATGACTCTCATATATATATAAAAACATTCTGCTTGCCATCAGAGTCATTATCCTACATCATATAGTTTCTAGAACACTCTGCATATACTCCCAAGAGAACAAGATTAAAATAGTAAGCAACAACTTAATGTTATTAAGAAAACAGTTTCCCTCTCATGGACATACTGAAGGAATCTCATGTTCCCCCTGGAAGTCTCCAGACTGCACTCTGTGGGCTGAGGAAGCCTCTCCAAGTCTTACTTGGAAAAGAAAATTACATTTTCCCAGTAACAGTTTTTCTGATTCTTATCTGTGAAGTGTGTAGATATCTATTTCCCCTACAGGTTGGCATAACTTTTTTTGTATGTTTCAGTTGTGTTAGCCATCACGCATCACCTATCTCGGGAGCATTTTGTCTTGCACAACTGACATGCTGCACTCATTAGCCAGTAATTCCCCACTGCCTCTGCCTCCAGACCCGAAACTACCATTCTGCTTTTTATTCCTTCTTTTCTTTATTCTTCCTTCAGATATTACATACCAACTGCAGTTTCCTTTCCTTCTACACCTCCCAGGCACCCCTCCCCCCCGCACCTCCCCTCTCCACCAGATCCATTCCTCCCCCCTTCAGAAAATAGCAGGCCTCCTAGGGATATCAAGCAGGCATGTCATAACAAGTTGCAATAAGGCCAGGCACATACTCTCATATCAAGGCGACCAGCAAGAGGAAAAGGGTCCCAAAAGCAGGCAAAAGAGTCAGAGACAACCCGCACTCCCCTTGTTAGGAGTCCCACAAGAACACCAAGCTACACAACCATAACCTATACGCAGAGGACCCAGGTCAGACCCACACAGACTCCCTGATGGTCAAGTCAGTCTCTATGAGCCCCCATGAGGCCTGCTTGGTTGATTCTGTGGGTCGTGTTCTTGTGGTGTCCTTGACCCCTCTGTCTCCTACAACCTTCCTCCCCTTCTTCTGTGGGACTCCCTGAGCTCCAGCTAATGTTTGGCTGTGGTCTCTGCATCTGCTCCTATCTTAACTATTTTTTTTTTTTGCATGTAATTTAGCCTGTTTTTAGTCAATAAATTTATGTAATACAACGTATCTTCTGAGAATAAATCCTTGAAACATTATTGGAAGCCACTGCAGAGATGGATTTCACATCACAAAATACATTTTAGAAGCGTAATAACATTAAGTGAGAAGGAGCCATATGTCTAATATGAAATTTAGTACTAATTGTTCAATTCTAAGCTGGGTGTGTGGTGCAGGCCTGAAATTCCAGATAGTTAGATGCTAAAGCAGGTGGGATCCCATTTTCAAGATCTAGCTATGCTACAGAGCAAGTTCAAGGCCAGCCTGGGCAACTTAGCAAGGTTTTATATAAAAACAAAACAAACACAAGCAACAAAAGTCTGAGGTAGAGCTCAGTGGTAGAATGACTGCCTAGCATTTAAGAGGCCCTAGGTTCAATCCCTAGTGTTGCCAAAATAATGATGATGGTGATGATGATGATGATAATTTTGTACACACAAAGGTATAATTTATGGTAATCATGTTCCTTTATTATTAGTACCTGTGATCTTGCCTGGGTCTGGTTAGGGATAGAGAACTTGTCCTCATATCTCATCGCTCTGTATCTATAGTAAGAGTGGGTAGAACATTTTCACTCAATAGCCATAACTCTACCCTTCACTGGCCCCATGCCCTTACAACCCACTCTGTCATCAGTCTCTAGAGTCTATTCTGGTAGGCTGTGACTTGCTTCTGCCAGTGTGGCACTATGGCAGCCCTGATGCAATGCAGCAGGATAATCACCTGTACTGGGTCTTGCTTTCTTGATCCATCTGTCACTCTGAAAACAAACAGGAGTAAGGAAGCCTGAGCTAGCCTGTGAAGAAGCAGTGGCCACAGGGAGGACAGAGGAGCTCCAGCTCCTAGCCAGATGTCAGCACACCTGCTAAGGAGGCCAGCCACGTTCCTGCTAATCTGGGATCTGAGACAGACCTCCAAGTAAACTCATAGCATCACAAGAACTGCCTAGCTCAAGCCACGTACAGACTGGTGGGCTAAATGAATGCTAGTTTTTTACGTTTAAATTGTGGGAAATTTTAGTATGAAGGCTAAAAGATGTGTTAGGGCCTAATTCTGCTGTGTCCCTGTCTGGTCCTCAAGTTCCCACTTCTGCTGTTCAGCTTTTGAGCATCAAAGTGAGCAAGGCCTTCATGAAGAGAAGCAGTGGCACTGACTCGAATACAGGCATGATGAAGCCTTCATACCCTCTCTCATTCATTCTTCTTAAACATCACCAGGATTCGCTGTCACCTCTGCCAACTATCATAATTATGGTTTCACAAAAAATAGGGTCCTATGACTGCTGCAAGGTTAGTGGTGCTCCTCGGCTGTCTGGTCACAGGAGGTAGGAATGTGCTTGCCTACCTGAGACTTGAAGTACGTTTCTTGTGGGGTGGCAAGCACATCCGCAGACGCGATGTCCAGGTGCATGAGTGTCTGGCGGAAGGACGGCCGGTTACGAGGCTTACTCTGCCTAAGAGAAAGACAGCGTGGGCATCTCAGAGGTTGTGGTGGGGAGATGGGGTGAGGGTGGGGATGCGGATTTATTCTGCTCTATAAAACACATTTTATTCCAAGAATTGCTATGTCTCAGGCAGCTTAGATGTGCGGACGTGCAAAGGGAAAGTGCAGCTAGGAAATATTGATGACATGGAAAGTTAGGTCCATGACCTGCTGGGAGCAGTGAGGTAATCCTAGCCATCACGTGTTAGGTCAGAGAACCATCTCTAGCCATTGCACCAAACCCCATACTTATATTCTGACCAGTCACACACAACTCTATGAGTAGGGGCTGGCTCTACTTCATACATCCGGATTTCACAAGTAACACAAAGTCAGAGCCAGGATTTGAAGCTAAGGCTCTAAAATTCCACAGCTCCTGTCATTCCACCACAATGTGGTTCCTTCCAAATACCCTGTAGAGATGCCTCTGCTCTTTTAGAGAAAATTTAATAGCTTTTTAGGCAGAAAGTAAGAGAGAATAACAGAAGAAATGCATTTCTTACCATGTCTGTTTCATAAGGATTTTGAATCCGTCTGGGCAAGTAGAAGGAACTGGGAGATGCAAACTGTTGCTCCCAACACCCCAAATGATGGCTGAAGAGTCCACATCCTTGTAGGGGATCTCCCCTGTCAGCAGCTCCCAAAGCACCACTCCAAAAGACCTGCAGCAGGCCAGGACACAGAAGTCAGTTCAGAGGGATAGAATCACACATTAGCTCTTTTAAGGGCCAGGTAGATGATGCATGCTTGCAATCTCAGCACTCAGGGTCTAAAGTGGGAGGGTCACGAGTTCAAGGACAGCCTGGGTACAGCCTGGCTGTATGGTGGGACCTACATCATCAAGAACATGGAAATAAGCATGGAAATGCTGTTTAATATATTTTACTCAAAAAAGTAGAGTCATGCAATGCATTTCATAGAGCCTTCTACACTAAACTGTCATTCAAAGTAACCTTCCAGTTTTCCAGAGTATGTTCATGGAGATGCCTCAGAACTGATACTGAGTCAGACCTTAGATAACATGAAACCAGAACCAAGCAGGAGTGAAAAGCATGAAGGAAAAGCATGGAGGGAATAAATCAGGCGAAGGTGGGCGGGGGCTTCCAAGATGGTCAGACTCACCATATGTCAACCTTTTCAGAGACAGGCTCATTCCGGATCACCTCAGGTGCCATCCACGCAACTGTGCCAGCAAAGGACATCTTGGTGCTCTTATCACTGAGCTCCTTAGATGTACCAAAATCTGAAATTTTGACTGCATCTGTGTGAGTCACTAGAACACTTTGGGAAGAAATAAAGACAATGAACGGATCATTAATACTAATGAGAACTATGAGTATGAGCAGGACTGGCGCTTCACCAACCGCCCTCCACCCTGCAGAGCTCAGCTGACAACTCCCATTGCCCTTGGGCATCACACAGAAACCTGCACCTGCCAGGCAGCTCAGCCTCCACCAATTGCAAATGGCAAACTGCATCACATTGAAGGGCTAAGAGGAGGGCTAAGTCTTCTCCATGCCAAGGATGAATACTAGTAACAATGTTCAAGAGGGTTCCATACAAGACACGTCCTGCTTCTCACATGATGGGTCCTGGAGCAAGCTGCTTTTGCCAATCTTAAAGGTGTATACAAATCAGAATACTGATAAGCCCCCACTCCCACCCCACGCTGGCTCTACCTGAAGAAACTCCTTCAACATGTTAGAATGTTAATGAGTTAGGGTCCTAGGCCCTAAACAATATAGGGATCTATTTCTTACAGCCACTGTGAACCTGGCATCTGCTTATTTCTTCTTGTGTTATACTTTCAGAAGTTCAAAGCCAAATGTACAGTCAGATAACTGCACAGAACCTGTGGCATAATCTTGTGAAGATGTCTCCCTACCTCCCTCTCCATGACAGGGACTGAATCAAGTGCTCCACCACCAAGCCATATTTCCAATCTGCCTCTGTCTCTCATTCAGCCATTTTATTATTTGCGTTATAAACATTTCTGAAAGTCACTTAAATTTTTTTAAAAGCATAGGAAAACTGAGCCAGACACTGGTGGTGCCTTTAATCCCAGCACTTGGGGAGGCAGAGGCAGCAGATATTTGAGTTCAAAGCCAGCCTGGACCACAAAGAGAGCCCAGGACAGCCAAGGCTACCCGGAGAAACTCTGCCTTGAAAAATCAAAATCAAAAACAAAATGAAAACCAAAACAAACAAAAAATAAAACCCCCCAAATCAAAACAAAATAAACTATAGGAAAACAACAAGCTGGGGTTTCAAGTGGGAGAAAATGGCATTATTTGATGTGATGAAAGATGAATATTTCAGGTAATAATGAAGTTTACTGAATAGTTGCACAATTCAAAAGCTACAGAAAGGGAAAACCTGAGTGAAGTACCTGGACACATCCCCCATGATGAGTGATGAGTTTGACTCCAGTGCTATCATGTGTAAACAGTTGCCCACTGTGGGATTGAGATCAGATGACCTCAGCAAGACTTGATAAAAACTCCTGATTTTGAAATAAGGAAACAAAACAGGTGAACAATGAGCTGAGAACTCACTTCGGTGACTTGAGATCACGATGTATAATTTTGTGGAGATGGAGGTAATTCATCCCACTGGCAATCCCCGTGGACCAGTCCACGAGCAACCGAGGTGTGATCTTCCTGCCAGCTCTCAAGACCTCATACAGCTGTCCATGGGCACAGTACTCCATGATGATACAGTAACATGGGGCCTGTGTGCAAACACCCCTTTGAAGAAAACACATGTAAGCACATGAAGACAGACAAATATACATGTATACATATCTCTGTCTCAAGAGTGTTTAATAAGTCTAGGGCCAGATGGAAGGAGAGGGGGACACCCCCTCTCAGCGGACTCGGAAGAGGGCAGGGAGGAGATGAGGGAGGGAGCGGAGGATGCGGAGGGAAAGAGGGAGAGGGCTACAGCTGGGATACAAGTGAATGTATAAAATTATTTAAAAATAAAAAAAAGAGTGTTTAATAAGGGCCCACTCCTTATCCAAAAGGTATAAAAATTCATATGGATAACAGTTCTTGATTCTTAAATGAGTTCAGTATCTTTCTGGCCTACTAATTTCTCTGGTAAGCATACTGGCCACTTCTTTATTCTTAAGTCTAGACAGCCAAAAGCTGTGCTAATCGCATGGTTTTATGTGACACCATGCCACTTTTAGATAAATACTACTCTCTTCTGAGGCCTGGACAGGCTGGATGCCCCCCCTTTTTTAATCATTAAAATAATTTAAAATATTTTTCTTTTAAACATAAACAGATTTTATATGTAATGTACAGAGGGTTAAAATAAAGTATCTCTGGTTTTATGATTGCCTATTAAATTTTAAATTACTCAGATTTAAAATAATTAAACTGAGGATGTAAATAAATAGAAAAGTAAGAAAATGGAGCTGGGCATGGTGGCACATGCCTTTTATCCCAGAAATCAGGGAAGAAAAGGCAGGCAGATCTTCATGAGCTCAAGGTCAGCCTGGTCTACAAAACAAGCCCAGGATAGCCATGGCTAAACACAGAAACCCTGTCTTGGAAAAAAAGAAAGAAAAAAAAAAAAAAAAGAAAATGGGGCAAATTTCTATCTTTCATATAGTTGTGTGAAAACATTTAGAATAAAGATGTTAGTTCCACTAATTCCTGTATCTTCCATCAAACTTGATTATTCAAGTCCAAAAGGATTTTTCCTGTCTAAGTAGCCATGAGGTTTATAGGCCAGTTTTCTCTGCTCACACAGACTGCACACTCTGCAAGGGGAAAGGTCTTCAGGGTCTTTTCTATCAGGCTAGGAGGGTCTCAGCCAGTCCTTGACAAGCTAAACTTCACTCCAGCTTTCACAGCTGATAGGCCCTCACAATTACATCAGGAGACATCAGGAAGAGAGTGCTACCAAGGAAGGAGCTATTGTTTTTCAAGCCCATTTCTGGGTTTTCTTTTATGTGCACGAAATCACCACAGGATAGACTTGACCTCTTTCATGTTTACAGGGAAGGCTCAGGTGACGGTGATTTATTTTACCATGACTAATCCATCCACTCTGTAAGTGACAATGCCTAGACTCTAAGCTAGTCTAGCTTCAAAGCCCAGGCCCTTGCTCTTCCCCTATTATACTCTGTGTTTTAAATTTCGGTAGAAGCAGTCGGATTGGGGATTCCTATGTTAACACCATTAGTTCACCAAGCTGGAAATACTATTAACTTTACATAATACTTCTGTTTTCAAGATGGACCCTTTTGATAACTGTGCTCAGCCTCTCCAGGGAAGTTACTAAGGCACTAGGGACCAGACAGACAGAGTCTTTAGCTGCTTTCCCATTTGTGCCCTGTCTCTCCAGCTGCTGCAAGTGGAGGAGGGATTGAAGGTGCAGCAGGAGGCACTGGCATGCCCCAGCAGCAGGCTGTGTGTCAGCCTTCACTTTGCCTGCCCTCAGGTGCTTAGCAATCCCAGCAGCCACAGTCAGAAAAGCCATCCCAGAGCCGTGGAACTACATACCGAATCCTAAAATTCACTCCGGAGTATATTTTTATGCACACAGCCTAAACAAGCTCTAGAAAAATAGTACTTTTTTGTCCCAGAATGGAATGGTATCACACATTTCACTTTCTGCAAGAATGAAAATCCCACACCAGTTAGAACTAGGACAACAATTAGCTTCATATCCTCTCTCACACAGTTCCAGCAGTCATCCCCTGCATCAGCCCCTCATCACCCAACACACCCTTTCTTGTTCTGTCCACAGATGATACTGGACCTGCATGGACATTTGCTTATATACATGGATATATGGGCTAGGGTCTGTATATGAGGAAGAACAATCTTTTTTTTTTTTCTTCTCAAATGGCACAGAGATATCAACTACTCTTTTACCATTTTCTAGGATGCCTAGAATTCTTTATTTTTAATGGGAAAAATTTAAATGTATTTTTTTATATATATAATTTATTTAACTTTATTTTATGTGCATTGGTGTGAGGGTGTCAGATCACCTGGAACTGGAGGTACAGACAGTTGTGAGTTGCCATGTGGGTGCTGGGAGTTGAACCTGAGTCCCTTGGAAGAACTGACAGTGCTCTTAACCACTGAGCCATCTCTCCAGCCTCTTAAATGTATTTATGAAAGCTCAGTGAAGTACAAGTGAACAATAACTACAAATAGTTATTTATCACTGCATAGAAACCACTCAAGGAATAATGTAATGCATGTAAGAATACAAGGATAAAAACGGTCACATGGATTCAGCATCTACTCAAGTGTCACACACAGAGAGACGGCCTAACAGGGACACTTGTGACATTTTCTTCTCACTTTGACAAATGAGAAGTCATCATCTACCTGCCTTCCACTGTGACAAGGCTTCAAGGCAGCTAGAAATAACAGCTTTGTCACCACTAATTGCTACCTTCTCTTCTCTTGGGACTGAATTTTATTAGAAACAGTCAAGTTGGGTTTTCCTAAAAGAAAAAAACATAAGAAAAATGACTATTGTTTCTTATCTTGTACTTTCTTTCTGTGTGTGGTTCTTACTAACTTCAAAGGAATCTACAAGCACAGGAAAATGTGCTAAAATCCAACCCTGCCTTCCAGATAGTCTTGAATGTGATTCACTGACCAAAGCAACAGATGGCACAATGGCTAGATATCCTCAGTGTGAGGGGTATAGACTCCCTATGTAGGGGGCGTTTAAGGCACTGGGTCCCCGCACAGCTCCTCAGACACAACAGTACTGGAAGATGTGGCATGAGGGTGGGCAGCGCTGAGTGGGGAAAATGGTAGGAAGGAAAAAGACAAATCACTGGGTCCCCTCAGGATACATTTCTACCATTTGTTCCCCAGGCATACTCCTGGGAAGCTCTTACCAATGATGCATGGCTTACTGCACAAAGCCCAAAGGCACGCTACAGTTGGTCCTAGTGATCTGAGTTTCAAGGCTCTTGGCCCATGAAGGAAAGAGCAGTGTACAGAAAGCATGATCATTTCAGTGAAAGAAAACGGAAGAGAGAAGATGGTCTCTGTCTGTCTGCTGAAAATAATCCTTCTGTTAACTCAGAATTTATTGGCTCTGAAAAAATTATGGTTATCATCTAGCATTTCATTTTCATCAGGGCAAATGATGGTAGAATTATGACAGGGACTGTCCTCTGCACAAAGTCACCTCCCTCAGCCTCAGTACCCCAGCTGGTGCATCTCCTCTTCCCACATCCTTCCCTTGCTGTAAGGGCTCTCATAAAGGAACCAAAACCACATCCCATGAAGCTGGACGCAAGGATCAACTCTACTGCTGCCTTCAGGGATATGAGTCCAATTAAGATATGAGCCAATCAGTCACATGGCATCTTTACTTCATGACAGTAGTTTTATAGAGGAAAAGCCTTTGGAGCTGCTGGGGAAAGTTGCTCCTGAGGTAAGGAGGGAGAATATAAGTTTTTCCATGTTTGCTAAAGCCTCCTTGTTAGACCATACTATCTCTCAATCTCTCAGGAGTTGTCATTTCCCATCTTTTGTTCCACTTGGGCCACAGTTCCTGTCCTTCATTCTTCCTTTTCTAAGGCCAATTCCCTTCATTTGTCCAGGCTTGTGGGATGATGGCACAAAGACCCACAAGGGAGGAAGCCCAGGGAGGCTGAGGCAGAGGTGAACACAGCTGAGCTGGTGCAGTGGTGACCCACCTTCCAACTTCAGTGACTCCCACACCTTTACCTTTGGCCTCGTCAACTAGGACCCTTCTCGAACTGTGGATTGTAAACCCGTGTGGGGTCACACACCTAATGGTAGGGGTCAGGAAACATTCAGCAATGGTAACAGGCCTCTGAATCTGTTGCTCATTAGTAAAATTAATCAAAAATCAAACGCACAGTGACTCTGCACATCACAGCTTCACGGCAGGCCTGGTCAGCCACATGGCACCAACAAACACTGTAAAACCACAGCTCCGACTAGAGGCTGCATGCTACAGAGTGCAGTTTTTAACTGTACAGATTTCTGCTCCTACAGAAAGATACTAATTTCATTTGGAAAACAAAAACTTTTAGCATTTTCTTGTCATCCTTCTTCAGCATGTAAGTGCAAATCAGTCTACCTTTGGATTGTACTGTGTCAAAATGCTTATCATTTACTTGCTGTGTATATGTATGTGTATGCCTGTGCATGTATGCATATTGTGTGTGCAGGTGTGCAAATGTGCTGGTTTACAGAAGGGGGCCAGAGGTTGATATTAAGGCATCCTTCTTGATTACCTCACCATATTTCTTGGGACAATGAACCTGGACCAGACAGTCTGGGACCACAAGGAATACGTCTCTGCTCTTCTAGCCCTGGGCTTTCCGGCAAACACCCTCACATCTAGATTTTAGGGAGCTAGGTCCTCAATTCAGCTCATGTAGCAAGCTCTTGCTTTACTCACTGGCCATCTCCCCAAAGTGCTTGAATCTAAAATTACTGTTTGGGTTGCTGACTTGAGATTCATAAAAAGCTATTAAATTAGTTTTACCTTGTGAATAGGACAAAAATTTACAGTGATTTCAGACAGCCCTGATCAGACCTCTGCCATTTTGTACTATGTATTTGTGTGAGTGGTGTCCTTAGCACGGACAGCTATGAAATCAAAGTATCAGGCAACTCTGTAACACATTGGAGATATTCTGTATCCTACAGCATTAAACATTCAGCCAAGACTTGATTCTTTCTGCAAAAACAAACTGGTGCACCCACCTGTTAGCATGCAAAGTTCCTTGGTGTTTAATAAGGGATCAGATTAAAGGCACCCTGGAGAACTGTTAAAACTAATTTCTCTGACTCAATATTAGTAAATGCTTGCTTATATGGGCAAGAAAGGGCTGCAAACAGAGTTTAAGAAACTCTGGATTCGTGCACATACTTGAACTCAACTGCTTTGTGAAATCAATGCACCACCATGACTCTGTAACTGGATTTAGAAAGCCATTTTGGCATTTCTAGGAAAGGGGTAAAGGAGAACCTATGGCTATAGTATTGAAGCACCTATCTTTATAAACTTACTACTTAAGAAGGATGTTAATAGGAACCAATAAACACATGTCACACAGGGAAGACTGGTTACATCAGGTCAGATGCCAGAATTGTCTTAACTGAACCTCAGGATGTTGTTCTGAATTACGAGAGGATCATCATATTGATGAGGCTGATCTACAATGTCTGATAGGGCTTTCCCTTCTTCACTCTCTGGCCCATAGGCATCCTGTGCAAGCAGCAATGCCCTTGCAAGATGAACTCCTAGAGTAAAAAAAGCTTGAGGGCATGACTCAGGCTTACCAGTCCTTTAGCACTGTGCTGAGCTTATCAAGGCTTTGTGAAATATCTTCCAAAGCAGGAACTTATGTATACACAGTGGAGGGGCAAGTAGCTCTATTTCTCTAAGTCCCCAAATAAAATCATCAACTAACTAACTAACTAACTAACTAACTAACTAACTAACTAACTAACTAACTAACTAACTAACTAACTAAGCAAACAGCCGAGCAAAGCAAGTATCAACCTGCTTGAAGGCAATGTGTCCACGATAGAGGAATAAAATAGCTCTATTTCTCTAAAACCAGCCCCCCCCCAAAAACCCCATCAACTACCTACCTACCTACCTACCTACCTACCTACCTACCTACCTATCAACCAAGTCAGCAAACAGCCCAGCAAAGCAAGTGCCGACCTACTTGAAGGCGATGATGTTAGGGTGCTTCAGTTTCCTCAGATGCTTGATGTCCGTCTCATTTTGTTCTCGAACCTTCTTGATGGCCACCTCCTCTGCTCGGAATTTGCCCAGGAAGACAGCTCCTTGGGCTCCACTACCCAGCCACTGCAGCTCTGATATCTCCTCAAATGGCACTTCCCAAGTATCTAGGCACACAAGGAGAAACAGCTCTGAGTTCTTGGCTGGGAAGCTACCCTGGTCTTAAAAAGCAAATGAGATCCCTGATGACTGCATCCATTGGAGAATAGGGAGAGTCACTCAGTATCCAGGAGAGAGAGGCACCCCTCTTTCAACTCTCTCTCAAGTCATAATAAAGTTCTCATGACACTGGCTAAAGCTTGACCATGATGTAACCGAGAGTGCTCCTGACGACTGCGCCATCGCTCCAGTCCTCATACTAGAACTGTATGGAATAGAAAAATAATTACAGTGGATTCTGAGCAGCAGCTAAGACTCTGTCCTATTGAAAATGAACAGATGGCATGTAACAGTCACCCTCTCAGGAATATACACTACTCACAAATGTGAAATTGCCGAAGGAGCAAAAGACACCATGTGAGATTTGGGGGGACTGCAAATTATAGGATAGACTATTTAAATATGTTTAAGGGATTTTTGTTTTTTTTTTCCCAGTGGCTCTTTTATTATTATTATTATTTACAATTTATTCACTTTGTATCCCAGTTGTAGCTCCCTCCCTCATCTCCTCCCTCTTCCTTTCCTATCCCTCTTTCCTAGTCCACTGATAGGGAAAGTCCTCTTCCACTACTGCCTGACCTTAGCTTAGGTCTATCAGGACTGCTGGATCCTCTTCCTCTTTGGGCTGGCTAGGTCACCCCATCAGGGAAAAGTGATCAAGGAGCAGTCAACCAAGTTCATGTCAGAGGCTGTCTCTTCTCCCCTTACTAGGGAACCCACATGGGGACTGAGCTGTCTATGTGCAACATCTGAGCATCAGGTCTAGGTCCTCTCTATGTATGGTCTTTGCTTGGTGCATCAGATTCTGCAGTCCCCCTTTAGCCCTGCAGGGTTTTTGTTTGTTTGTTTGTTTTTGGCTTTGTTGGTTTCCTGTGTGGTTCCTGTCCCATCTGGTTCCCTTCTTCCATAAGACTCCTTGTGCTCTGCCAAAGTTTGGCTGAGTCTCTGCATTTGCTTTGTAGGCTCTAGTCCTGTTCCCTCTCTTTTACCACTTCCAGTGTTTATCCTGTTTTCCCTTCTGAACGAGAATTCCATTTCCTTGGAAAACTTTTTTCCAACCATTTACTCTGATGTAGTGTCTATCCTTGTTGCAGAGGTGTGTTTCTTGAATGCAGCAGAACATTGCAAATGATACCACGTGAGATTTGGGAGGACTGAAAATTATAGGCTAGACTATTTAAATACGTTTAAGGAATTTTAAAAAAATTAGTTTTATTATACTGTGTGTGTTTAGTTATTATACTGTGTGTTTATTAATAACTAATAAAATTTAGTTATTTTACTGATTTTTGAAGATGGCTCTGTGATAAAGACACTTGCCATCAATCCTATGGATGTAAATGTGATTCTGAGTCCCAGTAAGGTAGAAGGAGAAAACAACAAGTTGCTGTGGCATACATGTTCAAACATGTAAATGCATGGGCACACACACAAAATAAATAAGTAAATGAAAATTTTACTCTTTATAGTCATGTCAAGTTTATTTTGGTATAAGGTATGAAGTTGATGTAAATTAATTTTTACTTATATAAATATTTAGTGATTTGTTAAATAATCCTTTCTTTTCAGACTGCTTTATAATGTTTATACTATAATTACCATATCTTCAGAAACAATGGCAATTAATTCATAGTTTTATAAAGTAGAATTACTAAACTGCAAATGACATGCGTTTGGCATTCAAATTCCAACTGTTCACAGTATCGTGATAATACAATTCTCCAGTAAATGAGAGCTGATGCTGCAGCCAATTAGCTATGGTCAGCGAAGCCCCAGCCATCCACAGAGATGAAGTGTTCCCATGGGCAGCTGGAGAGAGCACAAAGGGCAAGAGACAGGCACTCAGCCACACTCCTAACGACCTGTTACTTGAATTGATAACCAGAAGCAAAATAGGACTGATCAGTTTTGTTTGTTTAATTTCACAGGTTAATTACCAGTAATTAGGGAAGGGCCCTAACTGTCAATACTGGTTATTAACCTATGAGAAGGAAAGAGCAAAGAAAAGGCAGGACAAAGTAGAAGGAAAAAAGAGTCATAAAGACACAGAATTGAGCTTGTAGATAACTGACAAGCAAAGTACCTGGTGCCAGCTGCCCACTACTGCACCTGCACCCTGGCGCTTCCCCAGTTGCTGTACACCTGCACCCTGGCGCTTCCCCAGCTGCTGCTGTACACCTGCACCCTGACGCTTCCCCAGCTGCTGTGCACCTGCACCCTGGCGCTTCCCCAGCTGCTGCTGTGCACCTGCACCCTGGCGCTTCCCCAGCTGCTGCTGTGCACCTGCACCCTGGCGCTTCCCCAGCTGCTGTGCACCTGCACCCTGGTGCTTCCCCAGCTGCTGTGCACCTGCACACTGGCGCTTCCCCAGAACTTTGTCTGTTCTTTGTTTAACCACCATGACTACTATCTGTTGTCCAATATGGCCATGATTCACAGGCTGAGGAAAACCCTCACAGTCACCTACTTTAAGGCATGCACTCAGACACGGCCACAGCAGTATTTGCTGTACCGGAAGCTATTTGGCAGTAAAAGGTTTCAGTAACATGCTACATTAGCACCATTATTAAAACATAACAACATACTAAAAGGAAGATGCAGACATGATACTTCAAAAACTTAGTGATACTTGTGATCAATGCCAAATGCAGGAGCGTATCTGATATCCTCTGGTGGCCTGCGATGCAGGATTAAAAATTAGTGTCCTGATCCTGGAGTGCATGAGGACAGTACAATGTTCAGTTCTGAATGGCAAGCCACTTTTTGGGGCCATAGCAACAGGAGCCCTCAGTGGGATATACTGTAATCCTAACAGACTGGGCGTGTGTCTTAATTATTTCCAAAGTGAACCTTTCTGAAAGTCACATGGTCAACTGGAAGATAAATTAAACATAAATTTATTTTTATTTTTATTTTTTTTAATTTTTCTTTATTAATTACACTTTGCTCACTTTGTATCCCCCCCCCCGTGGTTCCTTCCTTCCTCCCGTCCCAATCCCTCCCTTCCTCCACCCTCTGCATGCATGCCCCTCCCCAAGTCCACTGATAAGGGAGGACTTCTTTTCCTTCCTTCTGATCCTAGTCAATTAGGTCTCATCAGGAGTGGCTGCCTTGTCCTCTTCTGTGGCCTGGTAATGCTGCTTCCCCCTCAGGGGGAGGTAATTAAAGAGCAGGCCAATCAGTTCATGTCAGAGACAGTCCCTGTTCCTATCACAATGGAACCCACTTGGATACTGAACTGCCATGGGCTACATCTGTGCAGGGGTCTTAGGTTATCTCCATGCATAGTCCTTGGTTGGAATAGCAGTCTCAGGAAAGACCCAGACCCCTGTGCTCAGATTTTTTGGTTCTGTTGCTCTCTTTATGGAGTTCCTGTCCTCTCCAGTTCTTACTGTTTCCCACTTCTTTCCTAAGATTCCCTGCACTCTGCCCAAAGGTTGCCCATAAGTCTCAGCATCTACATTGATAGTCTGCAAGGCAGAGCTTTTCAGAGGTCCTCTGTGTCAGGCTCCTGACTTGTTCCCTCTTTTCTCCTTCTTCTGATGTCCAGCCTCTTTGCCTTTCTGGATAAAAATTGAGCATTTTAGCAAGAGTCCTCCCTCTTGATTATTTTCTTTAGGTGTACAGATTTTAGTAGGTTTATCCTATATTATATAAACATAAATTTATAGAGCAATAAAAGTCAAACAATTAAAGTACTTCTTTTAGCAAGCATGGATAATAATTTGACTCTGAGTCTAAAGCTCAGTGATGAATTTGGATACAGAGATCTCCAAGTTAGGGTGTAAATTAGTACAAGACTGAACAAGCAGAGGCTGTAAGAACCAAATTTGGCTTACTAAGGAAGCACATTGTTTGGTGCTGTGAGAAGCAGAACAAAGCACTTCTAAAACAAATCAAGGGTAGGCATGGCCACATATACCTGCAATCCCAGCACTCTGGAGGCTGAGGCAGATGGATGCTGAGAGTTAGAGGCCAGCCTGGGCTACACAGTGAGTCCAAGAACAGCCAGGCCTACAAATCAAAACCTTGTCCCAAAAAACAAAACAAAAATTACAAGTGAAAAAAATAAACAAAAGGCTAGGCTGTCGTTCAGAAGTAGAGCTGTGTACGTGGAGCAAGGAACACCCCCCACCCCAAAATTGTCCTCTGACTGCCAGATACATACACTTGTCCCCCAGGTACATACACTCATACACTCACACAAAAGAAATAAATAAAAATGTAATAAAATAACAGACCACACTCATTGTAATGTAGTTTATAATCACTAAAAGTACAAACAAGTATCAAACCAAAGGGATTACTTAAATATCAGCACATTGAAATAATTATATATTTCATAGCTATAAAAATTATGCTTGCTGAAGGTATCTGGGTATATCTCAGTGCTAGAGTCTTCATCTAGCATATGCAGGGAACTGAGTTCAATACCCAGCACTGTCCCAAATCGTAAAACAAATAAAAGATGCTGAAGAGTCACATTTCAGAAGCGGAAAAATCTTCACAATATGAAGCAAACATACACCTTTCTTTTTCAGTGCTGGAAGCTCCCAAGGCCTCAGGCATGCCATCTGGGGGCTCTAGGACCAAGCTTAATGCCCAGGCCTTTACATTTTCCCCAGACAGGGTCTTATTCAGTTGTTTAGGCTAACCCTGAAATCATTATGTTAGCCCAGAAAGACTCTGAATTGTGATCAGCCTCAGGCTCTCAACTAGCTGGAACTGTTGGCATGAGCCACCAACATGCTATTTCAAAACAAACAAACAAACACACAAAAACCCTTCGGTAGCAGGTGCAGCTGAGAGAGGAGTGGGTACCAGCTGCCCAGCACCTGGTCCCACAGCGTGGATTCTGTGCCCACTGTGGACATCATGCTGTGAAGCAGAGGCATTTATTTCTATAGTTTTTGACACAGTGTCTCATTACATAGTCCAGCTAATCTAGAACTGACTATGTAGACCAAAGTAGTCTTGAGTTCATGATTCACCTTCATCAGCCTCCTGAATACAAAGATTAAGCACTTTGTCCAGCTCTATATATTCCTAAAATATGAATGGTTATTATTCCTAAGATAAGAATGATAGATTATTTTAAATTTTGGTGAAGAAATTGAGTCATTTTCTTTTAGAGTGTAAACTATTTTAATATTATTATTTATTATAATTTATTCACTTTGTATCCTGGCTGTAGCTCCCTCCCTCATCTCCTCCTAGTCCCCCCTTCCTTTTTCTCCCTCCCCCATGTCTCTCCCCTAGTCCACTGATAGGGAAAGTACTCCTCTCCTTCTATCTGACCCTAGCCTATCGGGTCTCATCAGGACTGTCTGAATCCTCTTTCTCTGTGGCCTAGTAAGGCCACCTCACCAGGGGGAGATGATCAAAGAGCAGGCAACCAAGTTCATGCCAGAGACTGTCCCTGCTCCCCTTACAAGAGAACCCCTATGGACTGAGCTGCCCATGAACTACATCTGACAGGGGGTCTAGGTCCTCTCCATGCATGGTCCTTGGTTGATTCATCAGTCTCTGTAGGGCCTCCTGGGCCCAGATTTTGTTTTTGGCTCTGTTGGTCTCCTGGATGCTGAGACTCAGCCAAACTTTGGGCAAAGTGCAGGGAATCTTATAGAGAGCAAACTATTTACAATATCAAGAACATGTGTCTTATATTTCAAGTTGGAATATATGGATATATGTTATACAATAATGGGTATTTAAGACTCACTATTTTAAAATGAGAAATTATATGCTTTGCAAACTTGGCTAGAGTGTTCTGTCCTCAGACTGTGAGGCTGCTGTGCCCGTACTTCAAGACAAGAATTTATTTATTTTTTTACATTTCTAAGGCAGTGCTGGAATCTTCAGGGATAATGTGGGGTCAGTTTGATTTTGAACTGGTCTAGGGGCCATCAGGCTTGTTTAGAGCTGACTTTTGTTTTTCAGATCAAAGTTTCATTATGTTGCTTAGGATTGGCTTAACTTAGCTCAAGTAATCCTCCTTCCTCAGCTTCTGAATAGTTGAGACTATAAGCACATGCTGCTGTGCCTGACTTTGGCCATCAGACCTTTTGACCCTATAAATTATTAGTAAAAAAAAACTAAACATACCCATGATGTCAATTGTTCATAATATCTATACAATTATAGATATTATATATATCTATAATATCTAATATACTATATATTATATATCTATACAATTCTACCAAAATATTAGTCCTCTTCAAAGATATGTGAAAAATAGAAATCTTTTTTTTAATTTATTTATTTTTATTTTTATGTACATTGGTGCTTTGACTATGTGGATGTCTGTGTGAGGATGTTCCTGGAATAAGAGTTGCAAACAATTGTGAGCTGCCATTTGGGCATTTGAACCTGGGTCCTCTAGAAGAGCAGCCAGTGCTCCTAACCGCTGAGTCATCTCTCCAGGCACTAAAAACAGAAATCTTAAATGAGATAAAATAAATGGGAGCTCCAATGCTTCCTTTTTTTTATGACCTCATGTGTGTACTCTACTCTATACACCCGTCGGCTGGTTGACCACAAAGTCTATTTAGCTTTAGGTAAAAAGAGACCCCTAAGTATGAACTTGTTCCATTTGGAAAGTCTGTAGGAAACGGAAAGGGGGTGGTCATGTGACCTCACTGTTGGCCCACTCCTTAAAGATGACCCAGTTCTAGACCAGCAGGCGGTGGAGGAGGTGTGGTCTGAGGAGTCCCTTCCCCATCCTGGAGCTCCAGCTTACCTTGCTGCTGCAGCTTGTAATCAGTGGAGTAGGCCTTCCCGATGATGTTCCACACAGGCCTGAGGCATCCAAACAGCCCTTCCAGAAACCCTCCGCTGCCACTGCCTGACCTGCTGAACTGAATCTTGACATCTTCAGGTCCGTTCGTGCTCTCTCCATCCACAGTGGTGCTGTTCCCTGGCGACACAGTCATCTCTGATTCATCCTGTTCCCTTAGCTGAAGAACACTGTTCTCAAACTGGCTCCTGGAATCCTCGCTCACGCTGGTCAGCACTGCTGTGGAGACAGGGCTCCCAGTGAGCTCCATCAGCTCTGATTGCACAGCCCCCCTGTCCTGCAGGTCCTCGGGGGGCTTGGGTGAAGGGTGGTTCCCCATGGCTGCAAGCTCATTTCGTCCCCCAGAGGTTTTGTTCTCAGCCAAGGGCAAATGCGGTGAAGAGGAGCAGCTCAGGTGCTCCTGAGGGTTGGCCATTGTGCCATGAGGGTGACTCAGGTCCTGAGAAAACACTCAGAGGATTATAGCAATGGAGGCTTGATGCAAGAGAGGACTCTAAAACCTGGAGAAAAAAAAAGAAGTACATGAGGCCACTTTTTTCTTAGTATCCACAATGCTCTACTTCTGTTTATACAACCAAAACACTGAAACAGGGCGGGAGAGATGCCCAGTGGCTAAGAGTGTTTCTTGATCTTTCAGAGGGCCTGAGTTTGGTTCTCAGCATCCACATGGCAGCTCACAACCCCAGTAACTCCAGTTCCAGGGGATCCAATACTTATTTCTGACTTCAATGGACTCCTGAATGCACATGGTACACATCCATTCACTTAGTCAAACACATACAGACATATAAATAAACAAATAAATGTTGCTTTAAAAACCACTGAAACAAAGAAGAGGTTGGGCAGGCTTATTACACATATTGGAATACAGTGCAGCAGTGAAAAATAATGTATTTACTACATGAGAAACTGTTCACGACTTATTAATATAAAGAACTATTAGGATAATATATTTGACACAAGCCTGAAAAATTATTTAAAGGACACATAGGCACATATTCAAGAAAAGAGACTGGAAGGACCCATAAAGAATATGAACAACAGTTTATTTGAGGTGGTTAGACTTAAAGGCCAAGCAGCTGTGATTTTTCACAGTATTCCAGCATGCTTTATTACTACTGCCATCTTGTTTGGAGGCAGGTTATTATATGGTCCTCTTTCTTTCATCTCCCTCTATTATCATTTTAGTCAGAAAGAAAAACTCTTCTTATCACAAGGGTAAACCAGGTAGTTCTGATACATACATACATGCATATATGTATATATATGTTTATATATATAAAACACATAGGCTATTTTGTATACAGCCCATCTTTTTCTCTTTGTTCTGGTGTCTTATGCTGGCATTGCTTCTCCTTCTGCAGCACTCAGTTTATACACACAGAAGTCATAGTTACACAGCAAGACCAATTCCCCAGTTTTTGTCATATTACACCCAATCTATGTCAACACAACTAAGCCCCAGCTTTTTAATTATTCTTTGCTTCTGATCTACCCATTAGAAACACTGGAAGAGGATTGAACCTCTGAAAACAAAGATTTGCTTTAGATTAGTCAGATTGACAAAAATCAATCTCAAATTTGTTGAAGGTAGGGTAAGACTCTTAAAGCAGGAAACAGATGAAAAACTGGCGAATGAGATATTAAACTGAAAAGCTTTTGTTTAGCAAAAGAAACAATCTAACATCATGAAAAGAAAGACCACAGGATGAGAGAAAATATTCCTGAACTATACATTGATAAGGGATAATGTCTACAATATATAAAGAACTCAACTTGATAGAATTAAAAATAGTCTGATTTAACATGGCAATAGGCTTAGGCAGACAGAGTCAGCCCAGTCAAGACCCCGAGGAGAACATGCTCAGCATCAGACTTCCAGGTTTGTGTAGGCCAGAAGCACAAGGAGACAGCAAGCGTGGGCAGGGCTGACTGTACTGGCAGATTGTGTAGTATGGTCATTGGAAAACAGTATGGTGCCACGTGACCCAGCAAAGGCTCCATCTAAAGAACATGAAGTCAGTCAGAGAGACATCTGCATTCCCACACTTACTGCAGCATGAGTGAAAACCAGTGGAGACCTGGGTGTCCACCAATGGAAGGGCGGAGAGATAAAATGTGGCGGATACAGGCATGCTGCTCATTATGTGTGCAGCTGCAACATCATTCAGCCAGAAAGGAGGATATCCTATCACTTGTGACAAAGTGGGTGGGGCCAAGACACTGGGTGAGAAAATAAACTGCATAGTAAGTAAGAGCTCCCCCCAGGAAGTGACGCCAGGGTCCACGGTGACCCATAAACAAGTCAGTCAGTGTAGTCCATGAGCAAGACAGAGGTGATTTAATCAATTTCCTACAAAATCAGTAAAGTCAGAGAGGTAGGGGGAGAGAGAGAAAAGAGAGAGGCACAGAGGTGACCCCAATTGGATGAGTAACACACGATTGCCTCTCCTGTTGGACTACTCACCAATTTGGCCTGCGGTGTTGTTGAAGAACCCCCAGCAATGGACAGAGGAGATGGTTTAGCAAGCAAAGACTCCTGCCACCAAGCCTAACAATGGCCTGAGTTCCATTTTAGGGGCCACGTTATAGAAGGAGGAAACCAGCTTCCCCAAGTTTTCCTATGACCTTCACACGTGTATTAGGTTGCATGAGCCCATGTATAAACACGGACACACTTAAATAAATCAACACAATAAAAAAGAAGATAAATAACACAATAAAAAAAAAAGATTAGTCCTTATTCAGTTACTGTTATAAGTGCCATAAAATGCCACTAATCTAGGTGGGAGTGTGTATATCCCTCCTTTGGCAAGAGCCACTTGGGAGTTAATGTCACTTTCTTTTCTTTTCTTTAATTGAAAATAGATTTTTTCATACAATATATTCTGATTTTGATTTCTTCTCACCCTACTCCTCCCAGACTCCCACCTCCCCTCCCATCTAGATTTATACCCTTTCTGTCTCTTGTTAGAAAATAAACAGGCATTTAAGAGATAATAAGAAAATAAAATACAATAAAATAACAAGAAACAAACAAATCTGAATATGACAGAAACAAACAATAACCTCACTTTCCTTAACAAATTCCTTTCATTTCCCTCACTGCTTTCCTTCAAGTCTTTATTGCTCATTAATATGAGACAATGTGAACGTGAGAGCCATTGGCTGGGGTTGGGGAGACTCTGGCTGAAGCAGGAGAATTTATGGGGACTCTACAGTGAACAGGTGCTTCCTCACCCTAGACTCTAGCTGAAGTCTCTGCCAGCAGTGGAGAGCGCCAGCATGCTCGCCAATTGTGTAAGACCCTGCTTCCTTCTTAGCCATTAGCCTGGAACTTTCTAGGACTCTCACCAGGAAGCCTGACAGGCAAAAAAATGTGTACTAGCCCTGTGCAAAGCCACTGGCTTCAGTTAATCCCACTCAGGGCATTCTGGAGCGGCTTCACTTATCCCACTGAACAAAAGAGAAAGGTTTCTCAGTGACCTTCTGAGATGTAAGTTGAGAGCCCCTGAAATGTTCCATAAGGTTAACACCAAGACAAGTCCTCCTCCCTACTTTCCGGTGGGAAGCATATGCTCACGTCTGGATGCATCTTCCTTTGGCTGCTTCTTTCACTTAACTCTTGTACTTAAACATACATAAAAACAGCTTTACCAAGTCTCCAACCCTGCTTCACTTTACTGGCTGGCCTTAGACCATTTTTCAGTGTCAAAGCCACCAATCCTGCGTAGGCCCGATTCCTGGGCTGCTGAACTGTGTCTTTGGTCCTCACTGCTGACATAGTGACTGCTAGCCACCCTGCACCCTAGGATTCCGAATAAAGCTCACAAAGCCAAAAGAGGCTCTGTTGCCTTAAAGATGCGAGAGCAGCTAGTTACCAGAGAGTCTCAGACACATGAAGAATCAAAAACAGAAAACTGTGTAAAAATAAAGAGTAGAAAGCTTGTGACCAGCCAGAGAGGATCAAGGATACTCTAAAAGGCAGTGTTCTTCACTTTGACTATCAGACTGCTGAAACAATGGACTGCAAGAAATGGAACTGTCATGGTGGGAGGGAAAAATAGCTGAAGCCCAGTGACAGGCAGAGGGGAAACTTGTCTCCCAGAAGAATATATGTAACTTGTCCGAGGACTTTTCAGGAGAAACTGGAGCTAAGCCAATGATGGGGTTCGTGACGGCTGGTCAGTGGACAGGACCACAGCCTGATAACAACCTGCTTTGTTGTGTGTAACTCTAGCCCTTTACTTAAACCTACACATCATCCAGAGCCTTGAAGAAGGATTGAGGGCAAGAGTGGGAGTCGGTGGATCTCTTTATCCCTTTTCTAAAGGTGACCACATGGACTAGGGTCTCTCTCTCTCTCTTTCATCATCTCTCCCTCTCCTACTAATTTATCTCTGTAATTGGCTTTCTGAAGGCAGCTGTGTCTAGCCTGTTAGGGATGCCTGACCTTAATAACTCTGCCATCACACTGGAGAGTATGGGGGAAGGAGAGACCATGGTGGTGCATGCCTGTAATCCTAGCACTTGGAGGTGGAAGCAGAAAGATAAGAAGTTCAACAACAGCCTGGGCTAAGTGAGACCCTTTCTCACTTAGAGAACAAAACAGAACTAAAAGTATTCTGGGGCCAGGGATGGCTCAGCAGGAAAAGCGCCTGCCTAGAAAGTCTGATGCTGAGATCAGGCCGAGCCCTGGTCTATATTACTCTATGCTGTGAGTTCTTCAGGCTGTGCCCTGCCCTTAGATACTCCATTTTAGGGTAGAGGATGACTTGTAGACATGGGTGGACATGCAGACCATACCATCTGGCCAGCAGCACCCATGCAGCACAGATTATTAAATGACTTACTCCTGGGGGCAGGAAGTGTGCTGGGGATTGAACTCCAGTCTTAACGGTAGTGTGGCAAGCACTTTACTGTCTGATCACCTCTTGATTGGGTTACTGACACTTAGTAATTAGTGGTATACACTCTGGGGTTTTTCTGCTTGGATATTTCTAGAGAAGATTAACTGAGAAGAAGACCATTCCTGAATGTGGGTATTCTCATCCCATGGGATGGTTCCTGGGTTGAATAAAAAGGGAGAAAGGAAGCTGGATGTGGTGGTGCATGCTTTTAATCCCAGAACTTGGGAGGCAGAGATAGGTGGATCTCTGTGAGTTTGAGGCAAGCCTGGTCTACAAAATGAGTTCCAGGACAGCCAGGGCTCTTACACGGAAAAATCTTGTCTCAGAAAGAACAGAGGGCAGGGGTGGAGCCAGGGAGCCTCAGCATTCCCTTTCTCTGCTTCCTGGTATGCCCACATGTGAACAAGCAGCCTTCCATCACACAGGCACAAGCTGGTCCTGCCATCAGCCCTTCCCAGCCATGATGGGATGTGCCTTTTTAGCCATAAGCCCAAATAACCCTTACTTCCCTTATAGTACCTCTTCTCACGCTTTTGGACACAATGATGGAAAAGTTACTAACACAGGACAGGACAGAGGTAAGAGGCAGA